AGCTACCGCTCGACAAACGTCCGCGCTTCGACCAAACACAGCTGAGACTGGTAATAAGCAACATCGACATCTTCGTCATGGACACTCAAGGCAAGGTGAGTTACTCAAACATACAACCAGATTATATTGGTAGAATGAGAAATTCAGCTGATGAACCGCTCTCGCTTGTTGAATAGAAAATCGTTTGCAGAGCTGCGATCGCTTGGGCGGCTGGTCAACCACTGAAGATCGAGGAAATCGAGGTTGAGCCACCAAGGAAGGACGAAGTGCGAATCAAAGTTCAGTAGTTAACCATTTTCCATTTTCCTCATTTTTCTTTGTTTTGAATGAGACCGAAGCTGTAGCTGAATAATTTTCTGATGCTAAATTGTGCTCTTGTTCCTTGGAATGTCGTCTTAGGTGCTCTACACTGGTATCTGTCACACAGTAAAATATGTTTTGCAGCCTCCACCAGATTGGACGCATTGCTGAAACGAAATTATTACTTCCTTGGTCTGCAGGACTATTACACGCTATCTGGCAGCGACCCCGAAGGCGATTTCCCTTCAATTTTAGGCCATGAAGGTGGGGGGATCGTGGAAAGCGTTGGTGAGGGAGTGAATGATGTCAAGCCAGGTGATGTGGGTTGATTTCACCTTTTTCTTTAGCTTACATGGAGTACTGGTTCTGAATTTGCATGATTTGTCTCAACATGAAAAATTGTACTTTGCGGATGAATTAATTTAGCATGTGATCCCACTGTACACGGCTGAGTGTCGAGAATGTAAGTGATCATACTCTTAAAATTGTGAATCCATAAGATTTAGCTTCCTGTCCTAGGTAGCTCATATTTGTCCCATATCAAAGCACGCCCACATCTAGATACCTTACTGATTCCAATGATTTTTTCATTTGCCAGGCAAGTTTTGCACATCAGGAAAAACCAACGTCGGTGACTGCTTCAATTAATATCAATCAAAACGGGTCATCAGGGTTGATTATTTCGTACTTTAAATAATCGCGTTTTTCCAATAATACTTGTTGTTGAATGGACTTAGTTATGTGGCAGAGTTCGCGAGACTCAAGGTAAAGGTGTGATGCCTGATGGGTCTGTCAGATTCCATTGTAAAGGTCAACCTATCAAGCACTTCATGGGTTGTAGTACCTTTAGCCAGTACACTGTAGTCTCAAAGTTTAGTGTGGTAAAAGTAGTGGTAAGTGAGTTTTTGCTCACCAACTCACAATAAAATTATTGTTCATTTGTTGAAATGACGCTCAAAAAGGATGACTTGATTTGGATTTAATTATAGGATGAAGCCCCATTGGACAAGGTGTGCCTATTAGGATGCGGTATTACCACTGGGTTTGGGGCGGCAACCAAGACCGCAAACGTGACTGAGGGCTCGACGGTTGCGATATTTGGGATCGGCTGCGTTGGATTAGCGGTCATCCAAGGCTGCGCCGCCCGGAAATGTAAGTCGATCGTAGCGGTGGATGTGAACCCTGGCAAAGAAGCCTGGGCCAAAAAGATGGGTGCCCACGAGTTCGTCAACCCGACCAAAACTGAAAACCTTGCCCAGGACCTTACCACGAAATATAGTGATGGAGGGTTTGACTACACTTTGTAAGCCGGCACTTTGTCCCTTCTAACATTTTTTTACACTAACTCATCAGATAGACGATTGCTTGTGCCTTTCTAAGTGATTGTACTGGAAATGTCGATGTGATGAGGACTGCGTTGGAAGTATGCCACAAAGGTAAGACGGCTTTACTCAAGATCAGACGACCAATGGAAAATTTTTCATTCATCATATTATTTGATTTTATTCAGGATGGGGTGTCAGTACCATCATCGGGGTAGCAGCAGCCGGGAAGGAAATTTCCACCAGACCATTTCAATTAGTTACTGGTAGAAAATGGCAAGGTAGCGCGTTTGGAGGTGTCAAAGGTCGTACCGAGTTAGTAATTGTTTTACACATTCACCCTCGTGATCGGATCTCCTGTGCACCTCAAGCTAACTTGTTTTTCTTGCAATATAAATAATCAAAAATCGAAATAAAGAATACCGGGGTTGGTTGACGACTATTTAAAGGGAGTGCTATCCGTAGATGATTATGTCACACATCATGTGAGTATTAAAATCGTTAAGAAAAACGTCCCAAAAGAGTAGTAGGTCAATGTTGACATGTCTCCAATTCCACTGTCCCATTTATCAACACGTCACGATCATAGAGGGAATTTGCAAAAATCAACGAAGGCTTTCAAGATATGAAAGATGGAAGTTGCATCAGATGTGTTGTGGATATGTGGAAGATTGCAAACACCAGTTGAATTTGATCACGTCTTGTTACTTGATTTTTGAATCTGCACTGGGAGGTTTGTTTTGAACCATGAAGATTAAGCCTGATAAGATCAATTTTTTTTTTTTTTGAAATGAGTGTATGATTGATCAAATCAAGTCGTTATTTTGGATGGGGGCGAGCTGTTCTCTTTAGCCCAGTACGCGATTGCAATGTGGATCATGGAGTTTTGATAGCTCTGCATTGTAAGTTGAATACAAATATTGCATGTTTATTCTGACTTTGCAGATAGACGGAGAAGGATGATGTCTGTGGACTCTGTTGGTATACCACTGCTTTATGATTTTGTTGAGTTTTTAAGAATGCTTTGACTGAAAAACAGTACAAAAATTCTTAAATCATGGGATGACCAATTTTACATTTAATTCTGATCAACATGATTGGTGCAGTGAATCACTGATCAACATGATTGGTGCAGTGAATCTTGGTTAGAAATAGATGTGAACCAGAACCTCATGCAGTCCATAAATTTGATGTTTTAGTAAATTTGATTTTCTAAGCATCATTAAAAACAAAGTGTTTTTGCAGCTTGCAACAGTGCTTGTCTAGGACTCATATATCCACGTAGTAATTAAACAATTGTACCATTTGTTGAATGTAGCACTGAAACCAGATATACAAAGTCTTCCCAATTGCATACTTAATCCAACTGTAGCTTATGTCAACTCAATTCCTGCATTGCACATCATCATAGAAACACTTCCAAAAATCAATCCTTCATGAGTATGCAAAATTAAAACCTCCACATCAGAGGGCATATATATACCTTAGCCTAAATAATGGTGATAGAACAAGGCAATTTTTGCCGCTTATGGAATTTAGTTGAATTAGCAAACATATCAACTCAGATCCTGTTGTGTGGAATTGTTGACTCATATCCCAGCCATCGTGAAAACCCCACGCTACTTTCCTAATCTCGAGCAGGATATGTAACACCGTCAACTTCAAAGCAAGTCTACTTTCAATCAAACCCCAACTTGAACGAAAAAGAAAACAAGACATGGGGCTTTTCAAAAAATTAGATGCAGAAAGTTCATTATGGTAATCAATGGAGGACTTCCCGTCGACCAGGTGGCTAATTTTAGACAGACCGGCTAAACTTTGTTTGCGGGGGAAATCTTGAGGTCGAACGATTTTCACCAGCCAATAAGCTTTAGCCCTTCCTTCTAAATTTACAATTTTAGGCAACGGGAAGTCCTCCAATTTCTTGAATTACACAACGGATTGTACAATACAGTGACCGCGGATGGCGATAGATTTCATAAAACAAGGGAAAACATTGGGACTGTTTTGGACATTGTAAAAAATACTGCTCGGCGTTATCTGACCGAGCAACAGTTTAACAGATTTGCTTGAACGAACCCGCAGCCAGCTGCCGAACCGAATTGAGAGGATGGAATTTGCCGGTTAGATCAGTTTGTGCAGCTAGTTTTACTATTATTGGCGGTGAATTACCTTTTCAATTTTACGTAACCTCAAAAATAGAGGTCTGATTCTTGTTAGGGGTTGCATCAATACATTATACCTGGGGAATTTGTGAGGGAAGATCACCCACTTGCATTGTTAAGGATTTTCAGGAGATGCACTTATCAAGCATCAGGAAAATTCGCATTGCTTGTTCTTGGTTGGTTGCTGCAAAAGTTATACCGATTTGCTACTTGGCGCTATCGATTCCCGTTTTCCCAACCGCAATGAATACCGGGTCCGAACCGAGCGAAGTAGCGATCAGTCTGCTGGAACATACAGCAGAAGATTCCAGCGCATCGTTTCTGAAACGTTCTGGGCCTCTCGAATTACAGCCTGCCACTAAACGGAGAAAGACCGCACAAGAAATATCTGGTGATGTGGAAAATGATTGGGAGCCAATCCCGTTTGACTTTGAATCGATAAGTGAGTGAAGGCCACTTGTCCTTGCGGTCATGTGGTTATTGGTTTTTCTTGTTGATGCTAGTAATGGATGCATCAGGAAAAGATTGTCCATGGTGGGAATCACTCTGGCTCGATTCTCCAAGAGGTCAATCTGGGAGCGAGACAGAAAAAACCCCAGTCGAGTGGAAAGGTCAGTCATTGGTGTACTGGTTGTATCTGAACCACGTCACTTTCACTAAAATAGATGGGTTCCTGAGGAATACCAGACCGAGTGCAGGTTCTCCCCCCGCAGACTGAGTTACCGATGGCTCAGGGTCTTCTGAAAAGTCAAAATCAGCAGGTGGAAATACAGTCAGACCATCCTGAAGGCTTTGAAATTATCGATATAGATGAGGCAGCGCCCCTTTTTGCCTCAGCAAGTGATGCCATTAAAAACCAAGTCCATTCCAAAACAGTCAAAGATTTTATGGTCCGGCTCAAGGAACACTCTCAAAAGATGAAAATACCTAAAGTTTGCAATTGGAGAAGGCCGCAAAAAATTCAGTTGAGAAATTTTCCAATTGTGATCATGTACTCAAACACGGACGGTGTGGACAATCAAAATCGTTACAATGTCAACGTGAGGCTGCTAGAACTTGATGGTCATGGTTGCGCAAATGGAGAATTTAAACGACTAAAACAACTGGAATTTAGAATCATGACAATCCTCGAAGGGTTAGATTTTTTTCATGTCCTCGCCAGCTCTCATGGGCTTGATGCTAGGATTTTGGGAGTTCAAAGGCAGATCAATGCCCATCAAGAATTAATCCAATGGTTTTGGAATATCTTATTTGTAAAAACTGAAGACAGCTTTCCGCTTTTGGGTTGGATAAGGACAAGATTACCTGCGCCACAGGAAGCTGAAAATTGTTTTGGTAGTTTACAGAAAGAATTGTCAAAAGTTTTGATCTTTTGGGAGCGACCACGTACCAGAAAACTCTACAAAGTAGCACTTTCGCTGTTGGGATATTGGTATAAATTGAATGCACTTGAAGTCAGCAAATCAGACCCCAGAATCAATGACCCCAATCTATACTTGGAATTAATGTTCCAAATAGTAAATGAACATCGTAATATTCCCCAATCAAAATTTCTACCTAGGTACAAAACTGAAGAAGTGGATTATTTTTCCAGAAACATGGAAAAACACTTTGAAAAAAATCACAGGAGGTATGACAAAAAGTGGAAATCAACTCTGGAATTTCTCATATCACTCAATGTAGCAGGGAAAGAATTAGAAATAACAAAAAGATTCAGTGAATTTTTGAAAGGAAACCTTCATAAACTGGCTTCTCAAAGAAAAATCATCTATGATTCAAGATATTCTGAAAGATTCAAACAATTAGTTGATTTGCCAATTTGTATCCTTGAAGAAACTCAATCCCCAGATGAAACTCAAGAAAGGTCTGTTTTGGTTGGATTGACTAGGAAAAACTTTGAAAGTAGTAATTGGGTCAAAATTGAAGAAATTTTCTACCGAATCAACTTGATCTTTGAGTCACTCAACAATTTGCACAGTATTTTGATTTCAAATCAACTGGAGATAAAGATATTAGGATTTCAAATGGAAAATTCCCAGGAACAGTTTACAAATTGGTTCAAGAGTACTTTGTTCTATCAGACTGAAGATAGTTTACCAATTTTGGGTCAGGGTATTTTGCCATCATCAACATACCATCCAGCTGAAAATTTATTTGGAAGTGCACAGAAGTATTTAGCAAAGGTTCTAGCAGATTCAAGATCAAAGCTAGGAAGGAAAAGTGTACATGTAAATTCACTTTTATTACTTGGATATTGGTACCAAGAAACATGTTTGAAACATGGAACATTACCTCTAGAAGATGAGGATCCTAACTCTTATTGGATGCTGATGACTCAACTTGAGCAGTTTCACTGATTTCAAAATTCTTAAACTAAACTTAACCAATTCTTGAGCATTGATCTTTCATTTACTCCTAGAATTGATAGTCTATTCCAATTTGAACATTCATTATTTTACTGGTGAAATCACCACATCAAGTAGTGGTATATTTGAATATATTTTGGATTTGTGTTCTATGAAACTCTCCAAATTTTACAGATTGATGTGATAAAATTGAAACTTAATAATTCTATGAAATCTTGTGTGTGGCAACTAAACAGATGACTCAGAAGAAGATTTATCAAAGTTCCCTGGTTTAACTTAGTGAAAACCCAATATTAGCTGAACAATTGAAATGGTAAACTCATCAGTATCATCTTGTATAAAATAGTGGGGTTCATCACTTGCAAGAAAGATTGCTACAACTTGCAGTAGTGGGGTTCACAATTCTTGTTTGGTTACAGAGTGGATATTGGATTGTGCTCAGAGTGGAGTATTTTTAGGCTGTGCAGTAGGCCATGTGGCTGCTGTTTTCAAATTTGGGATGACAAGCTTTATGAGGAATGCCAATTGTGAACCCTGCTGGTAAAACATCTTCCCAGATGGTGCATTTGTGTCCCATTGAAACCTGGCCAGCGCTCATGAGTTGAATTTATTTAAGCTAAAAATTGAAGTAGACTTTAACAGGATTATGCACCTCTCAGAGCATCCCCACAGGGGTTTCTAACTTGGGTTGCTATCCCACATTTAGTGACCCAAACTTGAAAAAGATGACCCACCGGTGTAGTATGCCAATTGTGTTTCAAGTATCAAATTGCATAAAGTCACAGTCCAATATGTAGAAGGGCATATATTCTTAGGCGTATTATGGCATAATCACATTCTACGGGTCATTTAACCCATAGTCACTCACTGGAACCACTAGGCTAGCTCCACTCAGTCAAAAGTTATTTGGGATTTAAATTTTATTTGCATACAAAATGCTTATTGCATAATGTAAACCAAAAGTTGGCCTTAGTTTGTTTACATATTCAATATTCATTGCATAGGGTAACCACAAGTTAGCCACATTGTTTGTAGGTACACTGAGAATTTTGTATAGTAGCAAAACCACAATTTGGCCAGAGTTTTAGATGCATATTCATTATAGGTTAGGGCTAGAACCACAAGTTGGCCATTTATAGATTATAGTTTAGGGCCAGAACCACAAGTTAGCCGGGTTGTAAAATAGACTATTTAAGGAGGGGCTTTCCCCCCTCATTCCAACTTTTCATGATATCATCTCATCATCTCATTCCATCATCTCATCATTTCATTCCATCATCTCATCATTTCATTCCATCATCTCATCATCTCACTCCATCATCTCATCATCTCATTCCATCATCTCATCATCTCATCTGATCAGCAACCAGACAGAACAGAGCAATCAATCCATACATTAAACAGTGTGATCTTAATCAAGTGCCCCATTGAGATCATTCAGACATTGAGAAGCATAGGAAAAGGAAAGTAACAACTAGTAAAACTTGTGATCTTAAACAAGAGACAGTGATCTTAAACTATTGTGCCTCTCAACCAAGGATTAAGGAGGAAGGGACATATACCTGAATAAGCACATTTGTTTTCCCAGTAGCCTCTCATAAATTCTCATTCATTATCAGTACATACACCAATCATTTTTCAAAAATACATAAAACATATAAAAAAAACCTCTTACTCAACAATTCCACTCAAACAGTCTGCTGAAACCACATTGATCTAGGTTTGATAAGAGACTGCTACACATAGTTTTCTCTATCATCAGTTTTGCCACAACAATAAATAAATTGTTGTGCTAACTCTTGTGTAGTACAATAGAGGGGCAGGTCTTTCAAACCAGCCGTAACAGTTAGTAGATTATTACATACGTGATATATCTCACCTGCTATTTCCCCCTCACAGGACTGCCACCATCCCCAAAGGAGTTCTCACACCGGAGTCGCCATCTGGGTCACTTTTTACATTTTTCTTCCTTGATCTCTATCCAGTCCTCTGGATGCAAGGAGGATCACAGACCACTTCTGTGTTACTTTTGTGAAAAACAAACACCCCACATCACCACCTTGCCCGATCACCAGATATCGACTTCATCTTAATGATGCCCGGTGTGTGCCTCAGCACTTTGGGTCTTCAAACCTTGAATTCCGGTTGCTATTGTAAGAACATAGCCACCCAAATTTAGCAACTCCTCTGGAGATGCTCTCAATCAGTGAAATAAAAATGCCAGGTGGTTGCACAACAGCCTCCTTTCTATTTCTGTGAGCCTAAGAAATCTTTCTCAAGTCTGACTTTTAGCTTCAAATGAGCTAATTATCTATTCAAACAATCTACAAATGGTTTATGAGATGGGTTCCCACTCCCAGATCATGATGGAGCTGATGTTTGCCGGCACAGATGAGCCTGTCTAGTCTGCAATGTGCACTATCAGATCAGGATGAGGCCCTGATCAAAGCATTTATCTGGACAGTTGGCTGCGGGTCTAGAGATGTGTTTTCCCAACTGACACCCTCGATGGACGGGGTCGCTTTGGCATACCGTCGGCGCGTCGCAGAAATCGACCAAGCTTGGACGACAGTGGACGTCGACGTGGAGCGATGACGTAACGAACAGTCCAGTCCAATCGTTGCTCGACAGCCACCACCACCACCCAACCATCCAACCATACTTCTTCCGGACAACAGCACAAAGGTCATACTACACACACTGCATCCGTACGTTCTCTTTTGCTCCCTCTTTCTCCAGATTTACCCTCTTTGGTCTTCTGGGGTTATTGGAATTTATGCTCTACTGACCCGTTTGAGCTCCTGTTCATCTAGGCTTCCAGTTACTTGACTACAGCCAATAGGCAGAAAAAGGAGGTAATCAGATTCCCCCTCAAAGAGAGCTTCCAATCCTCTTCAGCCACGTAACCGTCGCTACTTCAAAAGGGAACCACGATGGTACTATCGACTCTTTTGGCCCGAATTTCAGATGGTAAGAAGCTTCTTTAGCTTAGCTACATGTTCATCCATCGAAATTGAGGAAACCGAATGACATTCGGGTATTGTTGTAGGCTTGCCTCTGGCTGCTTCGGTTGATGACGAACAAACCGAAAATGATCTCTCTGAGTACAGGCAACAGGCCAAGTTAATCTTCAGACGGTTGAACGAAACGAGTGAAACCAGATGTAGTATTGAAAGTGGAAAATATACTCTTCAGTTAGTCAACCTTTATTTCTTTTTTTATCATCTTCTTTGGGCGTCGGTTATGATCGAAACTCTACCAGCGTATTCAATTGTTGTTTTTTGGTGTTTCTCTATGCTTCAGTTACGTGATCTCAAATTCCGTGGTGTATCTGTGTATAGCAGCCAAATCGTATCCACGGAAATTGGCTTTCTCGTATCTGGATGAATTGTCAAAGGAATTCGAACGATCGTATTCATCTGAATTATCCAAACCCAATCTTCGACCATATGCTTTTGTGAAATTTGATACATTTGTAAGCAGATCTGTTCTTCCCTCCCCTACTTGTGTTTTGATGTTTCATTCAGATCAGATGAGAAAGGTAGGATATAGACTGATTGAAGATTTTACCTCTCTGGATGATTGGTTGGATGGTTGGTTTTTCGTGATACTTAGATCCAACGGACCAAAAAGTTGTATCAAGATACAAGGACGCAATCCAATCTGGATCGGTTAAATGAAGATTTGGGAGAAGTAACGAGAGTGATGACGAAAAATATGGAAGATCTATTATGGAGGGGCGATTCACTTGACCGTAAGCAGTTCGGCATTGACATACTAGATTCAGGAAATAAGTTACCAGGCAACAGAAATTCTGAACATCTCTGTTTTTCGGACTCATCTCAAATCTATATAAACATGTAGGAATGTCAACAATGTCTTCATCACTGAGGGATGAATCTTTGAAATATAGGAAGGCGGCTCGACAAATTAACATAGATGCATTTTATCGAAAGTGGGCTCCTGTTGGTGTCATTGGGATCATGTTTCTTTTTGTTGTTTGGTGGCGCTTTTGGTAACCCTGTAATTCCACCTTCCCTGTCTTTGTCTAATCTCTGTGTCATCTTCTCCTTTTTTGGAGGGAATAGAATGGATCAAGTGTTGCAAAATATATTGAATGTCATTGAATGAATCCTTCTCATCATTTTCTTTGTGGTCCTACTCTCATCCATCTTGGTCAGGTAACAGAGTGTAATTTTAATGTTGATTCCTGCAGGAGTCAGCTGGATTGCATAAATTTAGGAGGTTCCAGGTTTTGTTGATTGCTGGACCAGTCCTGCTTCAAATTTGTGTGAAATCTGGGAAAGGGTTAGACTTATTGCAGCTTAAATCTTGTCTGCATGAAAATTGATTGCCTACATGTAGAAAGATAATCTAACAGAGAGTAGCTTTTCAACAACACCATGAGAGAAGGTTCCAAAAATAAAGCCAAAGTTGCTGGGAATTGGATTGATCACAAATACTGATCAATGTGACTTTCCTGCAGTATGTTTTGCAGGTAGTCAAATGGATTTGCCCCAGTCTTGTCATAAATCTTTTACATAAATGTGGTTCAATCACTATGTTTATGATGGTCAGTGGAGAGTGCACAATACATAATCCAAAGTAGATGAGCCCAATATTGAAAAGGGTGAGGGTGACAATATTGCAAGATTTTACCAAGAGATAACGGATAGAAAGCATTCTGCTCTTCAACTGGCTTTGAAATTTCATACTGATGGATGGATTCTGTTCAGATTATTAACAAGGATGTAGAGCTGAGAAAACTCAACAGCTTTTTATTTTCAGGGGACTTCAGATCAAATTTTATTTTGTTGTTTCAGACTTTAATTGCTAAGAAGCTGAACTCACCATCCTAATCTTTTGACTGCTTTCAGATTTAATTTAGATCCCTTCAAAGATTAATCTTGCCTGCAAGAAACCTTTCAAAAGAAGTTCGAGTGTAAATGTCTCAGCTACGTCTTTTATTAAGCATTCAAAAGCCCTTATGTCAGACATATGCATTCAATTTCTAAGTGATTTTTCAAAAATCAAGATTGGATGGATTCCTTTTCTTAAGGATGATAAATAAATTTAAAAAAAATTATTTCAAGCACAAAAAAAATTGCTGCAGGGGCATGCATGATAATGCATGGTTGTTTCCCCTTTATGCCACTTGGAAATTTAAGGAAGATCATCACATGGACCTGGTCTGCCATGTTCATGACACCCTAATGAACAGACCCATTTGTTTTTACCACATTTCTTGCACCAGAATTTTTGCATTTTAACATCTTTAACACAATTGCTGTGACTCATCCCTGCTTGGAATTCTTTGCATTTCCTAGTCTGAATTTCATTGGTCTGTACAAGGATACCTTGTTCATTTGACACTGCCACTTGTTTGCTTTTGTACAGGTCTTTGTTAATACTATCAACTGTAATGGGATTGCTGGTTTCACCCATGCATTTGTCACAGTATCTTGTCCAGCCTCCCTGCTTGGGGATAGAAGCAATTGATGGTCCAATGATGAGGGTGAAAATAAGCCCCACTTGAGCAGCCTTAAGAAATCTTTGCATGACTGTGCTACGTGGTTCAGATACAATAGTTGTTTGCAGGGGTAATTGAACTTGCAACCTGTGGGATGTCTGAGGATGATACGTCAAGGGCTCTTGAAGCGGGAATATATTCCAACTTTGCCAGCAAGCCGTAGTGGACACACAATCTACATAGTTATTTAAATCAGTGTTTGAAGCTTAGCCAGTTTTCCAGCAGGCAACTTCATATTAGAGATCGTTCGTTCGGACCTGGGTACCTGTTTATACCTAGGTACCTGTTCATTTTTTCAAGAAAATAGATACCATGTACCGCACCAGACACCTCCCAGGGGGTACCCAAGGTACCCGTTGAAGGTACCTCAGGTACCCCCCCTCTCTTTTTCACCTAGTTTCACTCCCAGAGTCCCAAGTCACTTTATTATTATTATTATTTTTCATATTTATTGTAAAATATCACTCACAAGTCACTTTTTTGGCATTTTTTAATATCTGTTGTAATATATCTACATCTAATTGGAAGAATCTTACTTTTCTATTTTTTTCATATTTATTGTAAAACATCAGTCCCAGATCACTTTTTTCATTTGTTCATATTTAATAATTTATTGAAAAGTTGAAACTATCTACAAATTATAACTAATTGGAAGAATCTTCATTGTCATCCAAAACCATCACCTTCCTTTTTGATTTTTTGTTAGACTTCTTGTTATCCTTGAGTCCCTGTTTCCATGCAGCCAAGGTACCTTCTTGGATCTTGGAGTTCTTGGAGTAGAAGGCCACCATCATTTTGATTTTTGGTAGGGAAGTGAGGGGGTACCTGTAGAGGTACCTAGGTACCTGTTCAATTTTTCACAAAAATAGGTACCAAGTACCGCACCTGGCACCTCCTGGCAGGTGCGGGGCGGGTGCAAGGGGTACCCCCCAGGAGGTACCAGGTACCTGCAAAAAGTACGGACAAACAATCTCTACTTCATATGCACTTCAATCCATTGCTTGTCACTTTCTACTCCACCAGTTCAAAATGGAACAAAATGTTATAACCACCATGTAGACCACAGCTGTCTCCAAAGAAATTAATGCATGTGGATTTATCAATCCTATAAGTACATTCATCATTAATGTTAGGCTATACTGTAGCCAGGAATATGTAGTTGAATTCCATGAAACCCCATGTGTGATATACATATGAGGATATCTGTAGTGAGTCATCCTAGCTTCATGGAGTATATATGTCATGATGTTTGATAAAAAATGGCCCTTAGTCACTGTCAGGGAATACTACTTGAATTATTGTCACAGTAACATCATGCAGAATCGAATTCATTTTGAAGGCTTGAACCAAGACCCCCAGAAACAATCCTGAGGGACGTTTCTATCCCAGAGTTGTTTTTATCGAGAGTAAATAAACCCATAGAACCTCCGTTCTACCGCTTAGCAAGAATAAATCAAGTGGCAAACATTCTGATAGGTTTTCCATCTCCGGTGAACCCGTTGGCCGAGGAGGTTTCTGGTGAAACTTGTTGCATTTTTGCCAGGCGGAATCCTTTTTGGCCGCACGGCTGTGTACCGAGTTAGCAAAGATTGCTTATTGGCCACTCGGTACACCTATCCCAGGTTGCCCCATTTGTCGATCCCCTATAGATGTCACAAGTTGCTTTGCAAACAAGAAGAATGGCATCGAGATCCTACGCCATGCCGAAGGAAATGGCTCAGTCCTTTTTTCGAGCATTCTGTGGTTGAGCACTATGTATCCAGAGTATTAAGACGATTCGCTGTATCCAAACTCTGCGTGCGGCGCCTCAACCAGGGAGACAAACTGTGTTGTGCAGATATATTGATCCGGTAACTCTTGGCTGCGTCGGCCACTAACAAAGGAGGAGGAGCTCCGACCTGATGACTGTCCAGGTTTCGAGCACAACTAATTCATCAAGCTTGGTGAGTTGATCATTGGTGTTGGCGTACTGGATTGGAAACTCACACCTTTCATGACAGTTATATCCTATTAGCACACTTATTGCTTGAAGCAGTTTGTATGGCTAGCGTTTACTTTTTTCCCGGTTCGAGTTATGTCCAATGCGCCCCGCTCCTTCTTGGCGTGCAAACTACTGACTCTGGTGCAGAGGTTTACTGATGCCGAGCCCTGATCAGTTGACGTGGCCGATGTTCATATAACACACAAACTGATGCGCTGCTTCAGATTGTGGCACCGCGGACCGAATCTGCAGATGCTTTGGAGAAATTGTAAAAAAAGGCCTTCTCACAGACTCGTTTTAAGTGCCTTGGTCCTTCATGACAGACCTTCTCCACCCAAATGGCCAATGATTGTGCTGAGTTCGACTTGAGCGTGCCGCAGTCGTCTTTATCGGCCGGAATCCCCACAATGCCATGGGCCTGCGGAAACATGGACATTTGTAAGTTCAACTGCACCATGCGTCCACAAAGGAGTTCTGGATCATAGCAAAAGAAAAGAAAAGGCCTTCTGAATCTGTTGCACCAGCTGAAAAGGAGATTTCTGTCCAAAGGTCTCACCAACCTTCAAAAACATTTCTTCCGCAAGGTGACGGCTTGAAAGCCTAACATATTACTATCCATACAAGCAACCAGATAGCCTATTTTAAAATGCTCAAAATATCTCTCCAACTACTTCTTTTAGTAGTTGAGTTTCTCTCATACTATAGTGACTTCTATTCGAGTTCTTGGCTAAATAGATCTTCTTCTTGTCTGAGCAGCTTGTCGGAAAATGCTCAACAATGAACGAACATGAGTTTGATCCATCAAAATCTCTCTCACTCTCAGAGATTTCAAGCGAATTATTAGCCGTTGGTAAATGGAGTAATAAAGTGAGTTCACAACTCAAGTTGAACAGCAGACCCCATTCTATATTTCCTAAGCGCTGATGAACCAGCATCATGGGGTTTTTAACGGTTTATAGAAGTACGCAAAGTACAGACACTTGGTTGGCCCGGATCCCAATCTTAAAGTGATGACCGGTCCGCATGAGCTCAAAAAGCTTCCGGGCTCATCAGTGAGTTCACACTCCATATTGCGAAGCACAATAAAGCAAATCCAATTTTATACTGCACGAGCGCTTATACATTGACATTCTATGAGTTGAAGGACAATAAGAACGTCTTCTTGGATGGCAGGAATCACAACCAAAAGGTGTCGAATCACAAAGAATATAAAGATGCGATCTATCACGATCAGGAAATTTCAGACTTTGAAAGGAACAAGGTTCACAAAGAGAAAGATGAGGTTTATCAAAATCCTGAGATATCAGACTTTGAAATGAACAATCTACCCAAGCAAGAGATGGTCCGGGATGCTTCAGTGAGTTCATGTTTTCATTTTTGAAGAGAATCCGAGTTTTTCTACTGCGCAACTGCTCAACAATTGGTATCATAATTTTTTCATTGTCAAAAAAAAAGAAGAAAGCCGAGTGCTCTTTGGATGGCGTGAATCTGGGCCGAGAAGTGAACGCTATTAAAAATGATAAATTAGTCCCGGGCTTCCTGCAGAATTTTTTAGATTGGCTATATGTTAAGACAGACTATTATTCTCCGTGGAATGTGGCTGCTGTATTCATGTTGATGGCAGCTGTGGAAATCGCACTTTCCCTGGGAATTTTCTACTTGAAGCCTGTCAAATGAAGTATGCTGCCTTGTGAATTTTCAGAACTGCTTTTTTGTTTTTTATTTGACTCTTGAATTCTGCCATAGCCAAATAGAGTCCACAAAAGTTGATTCAAAAAAAATCAAATGGATGAAGATCACAAAAAAGTGTAAATACAAGGAGTAATCAGTGGACTGCATATGAAAAATGGAGATAGCCAACAAGATGATAAAAGTTTCAATTTTTATTTTTGACTGTTTTTCAAGTATTACCAAGGGATTCTCTTCAGTGCCAACTGCATAATACACCCATTAAGTAGCTTTGTTGGTGAACTGGTACAGCTTGTACCAGTTCACAGTGGATGACTTCTCTCCAGAAAAGCAGTACATAAGAATCAAGATGAATCTTTGTGGTAAAAACCTGGCACAAACAGTGCCAGTTTGCCCAATATGGTTGTTACAATTTTTGAGAATATATTGTGGCCTGAGCCAAAATCAGATATGCAACACAAAGGGTCAGTTGTTACAAAAGCTTCAACCAGGAAAGAATTGTATGAAAATCAAACAACATGTCTGACTTCTTCACTTGAGTTTTCAGAAAGAATGAATGTATGGGTCTGTCAATCAGTGCCCTCAATTTGGACCTCAAGTGTTATTTTTACAATATCACCCTTGTGGGTTTAATACTATTGGAGTGGACCTAGTTTCACTCCTGACTTAACTAAGCCTCCCAGGACTGGGGGTGCAGAGCACCCCGATGCGAAGCATCTCCCATTCCCAATGGGAGGCTTATGAGTTATTGTGGCTTTCCTTCTTGAGAGCTTCCAAAAATGTGTGGCTTTCGGACAAAAATTTCAAATCAATTCACATTATGAGATGCATACTCATCATGAGACAACAAGGAGAAGGGCAGTTTGTAGCTGAGCATCTCAGGTTGAATGTAGTATCACTTGCTCCCTACCTACACTTGTAGGAGGGTGCTGCCCTAGCCCAGAAGCTGAGGTTGATGGAAGATGGAATTCTGTATTGCAATTGAGTTTGCTTGGAATTTTTGGGAATTCACACACATCACTCTGGTTGAACACACAAAAAAGGAAAACTTCAAAGGGGGAAGGGAGGAGTGCGTGAAGGAGGAAAAATAGGTGATTGACACCAAAAAAAAGAGAAAATTAAGGCCTTGAGTTTGATACCACAGGCGTCAAGAATTTGTGGGGAGAAAGCAACAGACAAGTGAGGGGAATTTTTCTCCCACCAAAAATGCAAAAGCTCCCAGGCCAAAAAACAGATATCACCTGCAAGTCCCTCCTTCGGAGGTCGCGCTTCGCGCGAGGGCGCTTCACGCCAGCCCTGTACCAGGGCCCTCTGATTTGAAGCGAGGGACTTGTGTTAAGTCAGGTTTCACTCATACATCTACTTGTTTTGATGGAAATTGAGTTATACACAAAGCCTTGTCATCTCAATACATTTCCATTCTAGTTAAGGGATTGCCATAAACTTTGGGGATTTGGGGCTGCCCCAGTCCCATGCCCCAAAAATTGGGAAGTCATGTGGTTATTAGTGCCCTGCTCTGGGAATTTTCGTTGTTTCAATGCATATAACAAGGATTTTTCAAATAATTCTCATGTGTGGGATATTTGAGAAAGAGAAAAAAAAGGATACGAAGTTGTCACAATGCACCATCAAAAATCTGAAACCAAATTAAATAATCCAAAGTTCCCAACCCAGCACTTGTGGTTGGGGTTGTTGGGTATTGCTGGGCCATTAGTGCCAGGTTTGACCCAAAAATTCACAAGAATCCCCGGGGTTTTGGGAAAGCCCTGCAATTCCGTGGTTTGTTCTTCAGGATGCCCCCTGTCCCCGTTCCGAACCTTTTTTATGATGGTGCCAAATAGGGCAATTCCAGTACTTTTGCTTGGATTCAACGGATAAATTAGTCATGTACAGTTGCTGGCACTTGCAACCTTGTTGGATGACTGCCGTCCGCATTTACTAATCGGACAAACTAATCCGACCAGTTGGCAGGTCGTTCCTGTACATGAACCGGGTGCGGCACCGCCTGGAGACATCCGATCAAGCACTGCTTTATGACTTGCAATATTTGCTAGCAGTGGACGTGTTAAACTCTTCCTTGATGTGACACTACCGACTCTGAGAAATTTGCCCCACTGGCACACACAAATGTCCTGTTTCGGATGCCCTGTTATTGAATGACAGGCTCCACCCAGCTCCACCCGACTGTCCTCAACAAACCAGTCTCAAGTGTGACTTGAGGGAGTCGCAGTCTTTCTCGGTCGGATTTCCCTCAATTGGACCGACCTGGGGAAACATGGACACTTTCTTGAATACTGAGATCAATCTCGTGTCTGGTCATGCCGCCTGTTCACAATTTAGTTTCATTCAAACCAAAAAAAGCTTCCATTTGTGACTGAAGTTCCTGAAATAGTGTAGCATTGACTTTGGAGCCCTAAATTTGTATGTTCACGATCCCAAAAAACCATATCATAAAGCAAGGACCACTGGCGGCTGACGCCCGACAGTGAAACTAAGCTTTATATCAGCAGGCCTCATAGAATTGCAAAGCGGCTTTTCCACAACGACCCGGCCTTACATCTTGACAAATTTCACCGCCTTTCATCCACCAACCAAAGCAATCTTCCAACCTCTTTACAATATGCTCAAAATTTCATTTCACTTACTTTGCTTCCTGGTTGAGTCTCTTGTATCTTCGTCTGTGTCTATATTCTAGCTAACAAGGGCGAATTCTTGCTTGAACAGCTCATAAGAAAGTGTCTTACAATGGAAGCTGGTATTAGGAAATGTTCCACAATGGAAGCTGCTCAACCAGCTCAGGGGTCATCCCTTTTGAACAAACTTGGCGAACTCGAGGCTAAATATTTGCCTCGTCCCCCGGTGAGTCCACAATCCAGGTTGCGGGGAAAATTCCACAAGTGTTTCACTAGCGCTCATGAATTGGCGTCGCGAACCTTTTATGTGTTGAAAAAAGCATTACAAAGGACCTCATTCATTTAACTTGCGCCCTGCCCAAGAAGTGGCAGATTTCCAAAATAATAATGCGCTCTGTTCGGAGCTCCCAGAAAGTGAAAAGGCTATCTGGTACATTGATGAGAAGGCCATAGGCGCTTCAGTGAGTTCAGTCTATGCACAAATTGCGGAGTGAATCCGGGTCTTTACCCCACATTAACCATTTCTAAACTTGAACCATGGATTTCATGTGTTCAAAAAGAGCGAAAACGACTCAAACTTTTATGATTTGTATCCTGGCCAAGCAGTTGCAGAACGCAAGGACAAAAATCCAGCGCGCAGGGAGGCTTCGATCGTTGAAATGGCCAATTTATACGAGACCCCGGGTTCGTCGGTGGGTTTGAATTTTATAGATTTCGCATTCGCAGTCGCATTTTCCGTGTTGCATGTTTAAGTATTTATGGATTGCAATCATGGCTGAATTTTTATGGATTCAAAAAGAGCACAAGCGACCCGCAACTGTATGACTTGCGTCTTAAACGAGAAGCAACCAAGTCCAAGAATGAAAGTTCGGACTTTCGGGGGCTCTCGCAGGTTGAAATAGCCTGCAGTCTGCCCAGGCATGAGAGACGCCCGGGCTCTTCAGTGAGTTTAAATCTCAGATTGCGAAGAAAATCCATTTTCTGTATCTCATAAGAACTTACAAATTGGTTTTGCAAAGTCCTATGGTATGAAATACAAAAACAACGACTCCAGTCACGATGACGGGGTGCATATCGGCCAAGAAATAATAGAGCGGGAAAATAAAATGAATAACCGAAGTTTGAATCAGAAATTCCAAGACTGGCTTTATGTAGCTACTGACAAACACTCTCTAGGAGGGTTGGTGGCTGTGTTTGGGCCACTCGCACTTTTGACAGTGGGGCTTTTATTGATTATTGGTTTTGTTATTCCCATGAAAACCAGATGAAATATGACACCATGTGACATTCTGGGATTGTTATTTTTTTTCTGTCAAACGTTTCTGCAATTTTCATAGAATCGTGTTTTTATGAAGTTTTTCCAGCATGAAATGGAAATATTTGGGATGGTTATGTATTCTTCCACTGTCACTCCACCTTGTGTTATCATTCTACCCATGCACTTTGCCTGATTCAACAATCCTTTGATACATTCTAGCATAAGGTCCAAGACTATGTGCTCAGAATGTTTTGTCTACATGATTTCAACAGGCCCTAAATGTGATCTCTCACACCCAGAGACAATAATAGCTGCCCTAGCTCAAGTAAGATATAAAACATCTAAGGATTCTACACCATGGGAGCACCTCGACGGCAATCCGGCGAGGGTTTTGCTGGGCAAACCGACCGCCCCCGACCCAGCCAAACCTTCCTGTCTGCCGACGTCAGTTAGGCAGCTTTGCGGCCAGGAAGGCGGGGAGGTCAGCGAATCGACCCATGTCTGCCGGGCGGGCAGTGCGTCGGAATGGGTCATCCCGACTGCATATAGGCAATTATCTCAGGGGTCTGAGACCCCCTGAGATTATGGATTCATGGTCCTTCGGGCGCGCCGACCTCCCGTTGCGGTCACGCCGCCTGCATGGCTGTCATTGGTCTCGAACAACATGACCTTCTATGCAGATTAACTGCACCGAGGTTGACACATGCTGTGAGAGATCACTCAGACAAAAAAAAACAGTCCAGACTGTGCTCGGAGTCTCGGCGACTCAAACCATCAAAAAGACTACCTCCTCAGAGGACTCGAACCGCGAGCCCCCAACTCCCAGGCTTGACGAGCGGTTCTTCTCACCGCTCGACTATAACAGATTGATAATTGTGCCTGATTCTCAATCCATAATACCGCGTCATTGCTTTTTTGCAATTTTTTTTTCTCTAAGTCATCTTAATTTCCAATTTTTTTTTTTTTTTCAAGACCAATTTTTCTCGAGCTTTTGCCTGAAAAGATTAGCTCTGATAGAGTCAAAAAATAACTTGAAAATGGTAGCTTTGACGTCAGCGCGGCGGTTGCACACCGGTCATCCTGACCGATCACATCCTGAAAGCAATTGATGGCCTGAGCTAGACAGGTGTCAGGTTTGGCTGCCGGGGCTGTCAAACCAGGTCTCCAGCAGCTGGATCCATCACAACCCAACTGTCACACCGCCGCCACAAAACAACTTACCCTCGCGGCGGGATGACAGTCGAGTTGGGACCGCATGCATGCATGGCAGCGGCCAGACCGGATGGTCAGCCCTGACCGAGCGTCAGCAGTCAGTATGACCGCTAGGTCAACCCGACCGCATGCCCAACAGGGGATTGACCGCTGGGTCAACCCCGCCTGCATGAAGACCGGCGGGATGACCGCTGGGTCAACCCCGCCTGCATGAAGACCGGCGGGATGACTGTTGGGTCGGCCCCGCCGCAAGGGACACGGTTGTGATGACCCCACAGTCATGCCGACGAGGTTTACATGTGGCGGGCTGACGACTCAGTCATCCCAACTGTTGGTCGACCGACGGACCCACGAAGGCCCGCGGTCAACAACCTGACGACGGGTGGCTAACCCGGAGGAGCTTAAAGTGCTCTGGTGGTGTAACTACACAGCGGGGCAAATCGAGAAATCCAGGAGCGCCACGAAAGCGCAACCTGAATTCGCCGACACAATGGCGCCCCGGACGCCAGTTAAATACCACGGTTTTGCCCCTGAAGCTGGACGGCTCAAGTCCATCTTCAGGGGCAACTCACGGTTCCAGATGGTCCCGAGGGCCGAACCGGGGCGCCCTGGTGGCTGATCCGTCCTATGGGCGCCCGGTTGTTTGCCCTTAGGGCGACATTGCTATGTCGACTCTGAGTGCCCCTCTGACACGGGGCGCCTGTGACTCTGATTCGCAACTTCGGCTCCGGGGCCGGGACGGGACCAGGTGACGTGCATACGGTGGACCTGGACCGACACCGGTTCTGCCACGAAAACAAAAATGAAAATCCAAATGGTTAGGGTTAGGTTAGTTCATGCAACAGTTCTGTGGCGTCAACGTGTGTCCACCCCCTCTCTCTCTCTCTCTATCTCGCTCCGAACGAACCAACCAACAACAACACCCTCACTCACTCCTCCCCCCAATCGAAAGAAACAGTCAACACAACCCACTGACTACCTCCCTCTCCCCCCCCCCCCTCTCTCTACCTACCTATCAACTCAACTCCACCAACTAACAACCGAACAAACACCAACAAGCCCTTATCTTAATACACTGATGGCTGATCAAGGCGGTCAAGATATCGATCTAGACTCAGTTATCGATCGACTCCTCAAAGGTACTCGTTCCTACTCCTCACCCGTTTCCTCCTCACTTTGCTCTCTTTCTCAGACCTACACTTCACTTCTCTCTTTCTTCTCTACTAAAACCAAAAGCACTCACCTCGAGCTCTCTCAACAAAAAAAATAAAAGAAAAAGAACGCACATGACAGCAGAGACAAGGCGTTTTTGTTTTTGTTTTTGACTTTGATTTTTGTTGTTTAATGGGCTGTGTGTTGTGTCCTACTGGTTGGTGGCCCCAGCGGCGGGTTTGATTGAAATCGGTGAAGGCTCTCTCTCTGGGTTCCTCGGATCCAAGTTTCTCTCCATTAAAAATCCAAACCTGCAGAAATTTTTTATACCTAACAAGTGAACTGCCCGAACATCTGCCCCCCCCCCCAACCGCCCCCGCCCACTCGTGGGGGCCCATTGTGAGAACCAACGGTGCCACAGAGACGATACGATACGGTATCAGGCGTTTATCTGTATCGTCTCAGAATTGGAATACCCAAAAATACCGGATTTGTGTTGTCTCACTTTCCTGAGACATATACATGTATCGTATTTGAAAAGTGAGAAATGTATTCTGTATCGTCTCAGATGACTGATCCCACCAAAACCGTATTTGATACATAAGATATTTGGCTGTATTGAAGAAAAAACGAAAAAAAAACAAAGACGATTTTTTTTTTTTTCATTTTTAAATCCAAATCCGATACAATGTATTTTTTCACCAACCAAGGAAATACTGATACCGGTATCAGGCTCAAAATAAATACAATACGATCCGATACAAATACATGTCTCGTATCTGTGGCACCGTTGTGAGAACCTTGCATCTGGCCCTTAGAACAGTGAGATACACACACGCCCCTGCAGCGGATGAGACCCTCCGAGGGACATACATTGGCCGGCCGGCCAGATTAGTTCACCCGCCAACGTGCCTCGGGATGAGACCTATCCGGCTCGGTGCCCGTGCCACGGCTCACCCAGAACCGGCGGACCAAGAGATAAACCACAGCGGATCAATGCCCCGCTGCTCCGCCGATACACAACCCTAACCCTTGCCGAGGGCGCCCTCAAGGCGGCCTCGGTGCAACCTCAGACTGTCCCACAGTCCATAACGAAATTGAGAAGGCAGCCCTGGTTCCACACAGTTGCGCCCCTGCCCACAGGGCGGCCCGATGCCATCCCTATGTTGCGCCCCGTGTCGGGCATGCTAGCCCCAGGGACGTGCTCTTGGTGCGCCACAGTGTCACCGCGGGGAACCTCGCCCCTGTTTCGTCCAACTCATAGCAGGGTCGCGGGGGCCTCACGGTGTACGATCCAGTTGCGCCCAACTCGACCCGCTGTGTAGAAATAAGCTGCAGCCAAACCAGCCTGCATTCTTGCTTGACAGAACACCCCCCCCCCCTCCATAAAAAAACAGACTGCAGTTGGAAGCTTAGGAAGAATACAGCCCAATGCGTTTTTAAGATTTGGGCGTGGGTCATGTCAGGATCATGTCAGAAAAAGAAGAGGTGGTGATTGGTTCAAGGTTGATTGGGTAAGGGACGATAGAGCTTTGCTCTCATTTCAAACTAGCTGCCACGCTGAATGTTCTGCACTCATCGTCCTCGCATGCGATCTCCCGGGTTTGATCTGATGAAGTGATAATATTCCGATTGACATCTCAAATTTATTAGAGCTGAAGAAACAAGTACAGATGTTGAGATGCTGGATTACATGGCAAGGATTAGGACAAGAAACGTATTCGTCTTTCATAATCTCATCTGATTACTCCTCCGCCCTGATGTGTAGATAATGTACGGATTGAAAGTATCATTCAGTAAATGAGAAGAGGTTAGTTTAATAAATGGCAATGATGGGGAGTTATGTAAACCGTTATCTATACTTACGTTGACCAACTCAATTTCACTCGAGCTGGGAGTTTTATAATTCCAGGGCAGTTCGCTTGGATCATCATACCACAACACCCGTTCCTTGGACTGTGACGCTTGAGTCGATGACGATGACGATGGCGATGAGTGTACTGGCTGAGGATTTTTCTGGAGCTTCAGGAAGTCGGAGAACTTGGACTTGACTTCCTCAGGCGCCAAAGGGTGAGAAGTGGCGGCGGGCGACGGGGCTTCCAGACAGAAGAAAGCAAGCGTCCGGTCAAATGGTCATAGGTCAGCCCAAACATCTAGAAATTTGGCTGGAGTCAGATAATAATAATAATAGGAAAAAATCTCAACAATCATAGACCCGTTTCCCCAGGAATCGTATCATTGGCTTGTGGACATGTCCGGCTGATCTTACCGAGCTAGAAATCATCTTCTGTAATATGTTGATGCCGAGAATGTTAGGTTGGCAGAGATGACGAGGCGGAAGGAAACAGCCGGAGTCTGCTGATGTAGCCTGCGGGCGGCCAGCTCCCCACGAGGTTTCACAGGGGATGTCAAGGGATGTGAAATCCCGTGTGATTCTTCAGTCGCAGCACGCAGTGGAGCCCCCTTTCAGCGTCTGCTGTGGCCCCCTTTCCTCATTTGGTGTTAAGCCCAGCCGCGCGTGTCCGGTGGGCGATCACCACACCGGATCGCGAGACACACTCTTGACCAAAACCCTCACCGGCTTCAGCTGTCTTGTTGACCGCTTCACTCCTTGGGTAAGAATTTCAAGAAAAACTCGGTAGGATGGGCGTACCCGCCTTGTTCAGGTAAGAGTATTCAGTCTGTTGGATTCCATCCCATACTTGTATCGGCGAATCATCTAATTTTGAGTGGTCCTCCTCAATTCATCAATTCAGATGGTTGTCGAAAAAATACCCCAAAGTCGTGGAACAAGTTATCGAAGACGTGCCGGCGCAAAATGCAGTCGATGGAGGTAGGTTCAATCAGATACCATAATAATCTTGTCGCAGGGAAAATTCTGACTCGACAATGTATGGCTTTGTGCGCTCACTATCAGGCACCGAGGAAGTGCCAATCGACATGAGTCAAAGAAACCCCAACGGAATGGAATTTGGTCAGTTGCATCTACAAATCAACCACGCAGAAGTTATGAATATTGAAAACTTTTTCATATTGTTTGCATTGGCTACGGGGTCTATTAGACAATCTATATCTCGATATGAATGGTATCGTCCATCCTTGTACTCACCCTGAGGGTAAAAAACCGCCAGAAACCGAGGCAGAAATGATGATCGAAGTTTTCAAATATACTGAAAGAGTCGTCAACATGGTCCGACCCAGGAAACTATTGATGATTGCAATCGGTAAGATCATTTTCTCTCAAAAAGACTAGCTCGCCCTTTGTTGATTTCCTCTTCTTTGTTTTCAACATTTTTTCTTCACAGACGGGGTTGCGCCACGAGCAAAGATGAACCAACAACGTTCCCGTCGTTTCCGAGCCGCGCAAGAAGCCAAAGTCAAGGAAGAAGAGAAACAAGCCTTAATTGAAGAATATAAACAACAAGGCAAGGAACTCCCAGAAGACTATAAAACTGATAAGAAAGCTTGGGATTCGAACGCAATTACTCCGGGTACGCCATTCATGACCCTTTTAACGGAAAGTTTGCGATATTGGATCGTCTACAAAATGAATACCGACAAAGGCTGGAGTCAAGTTCGTGCTAGCGTCTTTTTTTAAATGCCAAAGTTTCTTTATATGATGTGATTGCACATGGCCTTTAATCTTTTCGGATGTCCTTTGTTTTTGATCTGCCTAAATCATCAGATTCAAGTAATCCTATCCGACGCATCAGTTCCTGGAGAAGGGGAGCACAAGATTATGGATTTCGTACGTCGACAGCGAACTCAGCCTTCTTATGATCCCAACACGAAACATGTAATCTACGGACTGGATGCAGATCTTATAATGTTATCCTTAGCAACACATGAACCTCATTTCAAAGTTTTACGAGAAGATGTATTCGCAGACCAGAAGAAAGGGAAAGGTTGTTACACTTGTGGACAACTTGGTCATCACAGTAGTCAATGTCAAGGCAAACCGAAAGAGAAAGTAGATGAACATGATACCAAGCAAAAGCCAGTTGAAAGAAAGCCATTCATATTTCTAGACGTCGGAATCTTACGAGAATATTTGGCGATTGAATTGAATATCGGTGGATTACCGTTTCCATTTGATATTGAACGCGCGATCGACGATTGGGTGTTGCTGATTTTCTTCGTCGGAAATGACTTTCTACCGCATCTACCAAGTCTCGAGATTCGAGAAGGTGCGATCGACACTCTACTCAAGATATGGAAAACCAATCTAGGACGAATGGGCGGATTCCTGACCGACTGTGGAGCCTTGAATTTGAAACGCACCGAAATCATCTTAGAAGGACTGGCCTCACGTGAAGACGAGATCTTCCGTAGACGTAGAGAAGCAGAGGAAAGGCAAGATCAATCTGCTAAAAGACGTAAAATTGATGATGACAACAAGCAAGTTCATATCAAATCATCCACAACCAATCAGCCTCTGCCTACTTCCAATCTAGGCAACCTCTCAACAACCCTCAACGTGCCCCTAAAACCGACCTTCTTGCCTGAAGATGTCAGACAAACAACACAGTCCGCTATTCCGGGGCTCGGTAATGCTAGCTTATCCATGATGAGTAATGCGGATGTGGTTAAAAACCGGTTCGCGATCAGGACGGCTAACATGGATGCAGCTGCGATGCTGAAAGCAGAGCTGAGTGGAACATTAGAACTTCCGACGTCCGCGCCCGCCGGTGATGATGCCACTAAAATGACCATGGAGTCGACTGACGTGGCGCTAGCCGAGTCTCAAGTCCCCCTCGAAGCCAATACCGAGACGCCTGGCGTGACACAGGCCGAGTCTGATGCTCCCACCGGAACGCAGAATCCATCAAATGAAAGCCACTCGGCGATAGATACCTCGCAAGGCAAGCCATCCAATGCTGAAAATGACGAGTCGGCGGCCACAACAAACGGAAAGGATTCTTGCCAAGATTCTGCAGCCGGCCCTCCTGATGGGGAAACTGAATCGACTGTAAAACCACCCACACCAGTTCAAAAGCGTAAAGCTGATGAGCTTGAATCTGCTGACCCAGCAATCGGCCCTATAGATGATTCCGTCGTACTATCGGAAGATGAAGATGAGGATGAAGCCCCCGGTGATGTGTCCGTTTTCGTTCCTGGTGAGCCCAGTCGACCAGCCCCCTTGAAGATGCTCGGTAATAATATGGTCGAGCAAGATGATACAGTCAAGTGAGTTTTCCTGCTGCTATTCTCGGTGGTCATCAACCTCTGACTTCTCTATCCACAGATTATGGGAACCGGGTTACCGCGAACGATACTTTAGACAAAAGTTTGGAATAGAGTTAAACGATGAAGTTGAAAAACGAAAGTAAGTCGCTATTCACACCTCAGCCCATTAAGTTTTGGCCAATTGTTCATTGACTTTCACAAATTGAACAATTTTTGTTGTCAACAGAATAGTCAAGCATTATGTCGAAGGCCTAGCATGGGTTCTGGCTTACTACTACCAGGGATGTCAATCGTGGCAATGGTTTTATCCCTACCATTACTCTCCATTTGCTTCGGATTTTACAAATTTGGAAGAGTTTGAAATCAAGTTCAACCTTGGACAGCCATTCAAGCCATACGAGCAACTGATGGGTGTTTTCCCAGCTGCTTCAAGATGTCATATTCCCGACGTTTACCACGACCTGATGATGAATGATGACTCGCCTATTAAAGACTTTTATCCTGAGGAATTCGAAATTGACATGAATGGAAAGAAAATGCTGTGGCAAGGGGTCGCCTTGCTACCATTCATCGAGCAAGATCGATTGTTGAACAGTATGAAGGACTGCGAAGATCGCTTGGCACCTGAAGATAAAATTAGGAACGAACCTGGGCATGTGGTCATGTTTTGTGGTGAAGCTCATCCTCAATATGAGAACTTTTGTAAAATATACCAAAAACGAGATAACAAGGAGGCCGTGACACTGGATCCTGCGCACGCAAACGGAGTCTTCGGCTCAGCATTACCCGACCCAGACTGCATTCCGGGCTCGACGTTCTATTCGCCACTGCCGACGGTTGGGCTGCCCGATATCTCGAATGACAAATCGATATTTGCTCGATTTTTTGTTCCATCACAACTAGTCCCCCATCGCAGCCTACTACTAAGTGGGGTCGCTTTGGAACGGCCCATCCTAAATAATCATGATCGAGACCTAACGCGTCGGGGTGGAAATCAAGCGCATGGGGGTAACCAACACTACGGCAGCGATGGCTTTCATCAACAGCGGAGAGACTTCGGGGACGGGCCGGGAATCATGACTCATTATCACACCAATAATTCTAACTTCAATGGCGGCGGTGGCGGCTATTGGAACTCCAACCGAGGATCTGGTAATCATTCCCAGTACCAACAACCTCATCACTCAACGCACGCACATGACTACAGGAACTCGGGGCCACCGGCTGGCAACCATCGGGGCTACTCCAACGGGCCTGCCCATCATCATCACAATGGCTATCCGCAAGGAGGTCATCATTCGCAGAGGGCACCATACGGATTGCCTACAAGTTTTGGATCGACCAATGCGAGAGGTGGGGGCGGCTATCGACCTCCTCACAGCGCGCCTCAGTCGAGCTACTATAACGCACCCATGAACCATAATAATGGCGGTTATGTCCCCCCGGTCAGGTACGGTGGGACAGGGGTTGGACTCCCTCAACGCGCCCCACCGGCCCCTTTTGCAGACCCGTATCCTCCTCCAACTCAATCATCTACACACTATTCTCGAGCCGGGTATCGGCCGCCGGGCATCACCCCCGCCTTCACTCGAACTGTGCCCAATTACCCTCCCCGGGCCGCCCAACAACCCTCCCGACCCCCTTATGATCACTCATCTGGTAGGTAGAGTCGATAAATCGGGCTTTGGTTTTCTTTTTCTCTTTTTTTTGGTCCTTATACGTCCATGGATATTTCGTCCAGCAACAGCCAAATAAGCAACTCGTAAATAGATCACCAGATTACCCTCGTGGACTTCCTCTCTCCCTCAATCGACCTCAAAATTTTCTTTTTTCTTTTTTTTGTTCTTCTGTCTCTAATTCTATCTATAGTATCAAGAAATAAAATAAACATTGTCTGAAATTGTTTTGTGTTTGTGTTGATGTCCACATAAAAAACTTATGCTAGATAACTGAAAACTCAGCCAAAAAATGATAATAATACATACATAACCGAAAAAATTGTTCAAGCTGTATCAAGTATGAATTAGAGAAATGAAAAAAAAGTGAAATTGAAATTTCTGCTGCAAGTAAGATCACATGACCATCCGGTGATAAAAAAAGAGACCATGTGTAATCCGAACCCTCCTTTATTTTCATGAATGTAAGACAAATTGCATCGAATGCAGTTGGTCGTCTCAGACTCGGCCAGTTTGAAGCAAATAGGCTCTGGCATGGCTAGCAATCTCTATGTAAATATTTCTCAGCTCAGGTCCATGACATGGTTCTCATTCATTCAAGAGTGAAGAGACTATGTAGAGGCAAATGTGTGGCCCATTGCTCGCCAGGCGGCCGAAGTTGGATTTCGGCACGCTTCAACCAGCTTCATCCGCAACGAATCCGGAAACAAGACATGTTTTTTGGTAAGGTCTGCACAATTGAAGCCAGTGCTATTGGACTGGCAGGACTCGTTGACATCCCAATACTCTTGAACACATCCGTCAAAGGGTGCTAACTTAACTAAGTCCCTCCAGGCAGTTGATTCGATGGCTTGCCGGAGGGTCCCTGCGGGACGGCGTCCCCCCTGCGAATAAAGAGGGATTAGTTCTAAGTTAGCAAAGGGTGTAGGGCCTTGTGCTTCATCGATTATTGCATTACCGGAGACAGGCCTTCAAGATTTACAGCTTTGATAGACTTCGATGTGGAAGGCCGGACAGATCCGTTGCACTGTCCAGCGCGTCCCGTCGTGGCTCCCTCTTCGCCATCTCGACATCGACACGATTGAACAATACGATTGAACACACACACGCAGACGCGCTGCTTGAAGGTCATTCACGCCATGAATTTTCACTTGCCAACTGACAGTGTCAATGATGTCTCCCACTCCCATCCCCTTTCTGGGAACTCTTACACAGCTCATCCTTCCACAATTCTAATTTGTAATGACACGGAGATGAGTGATTTATGCGCTTTCTCCAACTTGCCGCCTGTCCTGTCCGTCTGCAAAGCTCGGTCAAGCTTGTGACCTGTCAGCTCCACCGTGTCAAAGTTGAGAAGCTCATGTGCCACCCAGAACATCGCTTTTCATCATCTAAAGGGCACATCGGCGCATATCTCACCAACAGCGCCCATTCCTTGTCTTCCACACCTCCTGCCCGCTAAGCCCTTCCTTCTCAACCCTTTCGCAATGGCACATACGATTGCGACATACATCTTTTGGAGCCTTCTGATAGTTGGCCAAGCGTTCTCCCTGTCAGTCACGTCACCCAACCTCAACCTCAAGGCCACCAAAGCCACTCAAGGAGGAATCGCCCATCTCTCCGGCAAGAAAAATGTCTCCGGTCTGTTTCAGTTCAGTAGTCCAGAAGATTCAGAGTGGGTGAACATCGTCATTTCGATGCGAGGCTTGTTACAATTCAACCTGACCGAGGGCTTTGCTTATCATGGTATGCGCTCATAATGTCCTGCCATTCTCTTTCTCTGATCAAGTGAAAGTAATAAGCGGAAAAGATTTCCTCTTCTCACGAAAATCCTTTTGCTCTCTTAGTGCACGAACATCCGGTCGTTGATGGGAATTGCTCAAGCGCCCTTTTGCACTACAAAGTCCCGACGCCAAAGCCGAGCTGCACCTCGGAAATCAAAAATTACTGTCAACCAGCCGTGAGTAACACTGGATCCTCAAGCGATTGATCAACAAAAACTGTGGTTGAAGAAAGCGTTGCGGCCGTGCTTGCTTGATTGTTTTTCCTTGTAGGAGTTCCCAACGCGTCATGGCAACCTACCTGGCCTGGTGGACGTTTTCACACTAAGGATAAACGACAATTTGATCGATCTGACCGGTCCGAATTCCATCATCGGCAAAAGCATCGTTGTTCATGGTGCGAACCTGACTCGACTTGCATGCGGTGAGTCTTTCCCCCCCTCGTTAGTTGACACCTGTGATTCTGAACATTCTTCATGTTTTGTCCAGGCAACATCGAACCTTGGACTCCGGGCGCCAAGGCCTGAAGAAACATTTTCGTAGAGTTATCCCAGCAGTCGATAGATTCTGCGAAGTAGCAGTGGACCATAAGCATTATCCATTCATTGTAGTAGTCTTACCGCCAGTATGACATATCCCTCGTTTTTTTCACAACTTGGCCAATGACTCCAAGTTCCGCGGCCCATCCAAAGCACTGGCATTACTGAATTCAACTTCCTACTAGAACCAGCATGTGCCAACGGTACTCTCACTTTTCCGTATTATCTAAACTCATCGTCCTTCAAGCTTTATTCAAGAGGATTCCATTTCTCTCCTTTTCATTTTACTCAACTTTCGTTAACCTTACAATTGTACACTTTCTCTTCGCATGTTTTACTGTTATCATCGGTCAAAGAAGCATAAACTGGATATTTTATTAAGAATTAAATTCTCTCCCTTGAGGTAAATTTCCTCAAATTGACAACTGTTTTGATTTCACTCCAGACTTGCGCTGTCTGCAGCAAGTTGTTGGAGAAAGCCCTTGAGATACAAATGGTGCTGAAATTGTGTAAGCCCCGGAATGGCCCAATATTTGGAATCATTCTCATCAAATTCAAATCAGTTTAAATCAGCAAGCCGAAAATAGGGCACCCGTCATGACGGAGCCCTGTGAGCCATTTCCGTCAAGCAAGGGACTTGCACTGGTTAGATACAATACAGCGACTTGAATGATAACACTTCTTTGAAAGCTTCGATAAAGCCATGGAGATCCGAATTGTGTTTTATGGCGACTTCTTTTGGATGCAAATGTTGTTGCAATAGTTGCAGGAGGTCAAAGTTCACTTATCCATAGGTCGTCCCTCATTTCAAATGCATATAGCAGGGGCCTTTCCTTGATTGTCATTTATAAATCAAAAACCCAATCACCCTCGCTGGTGCCAAAGTACAGTAAGCATATGATGGTGCTTACAGAAAAGCTTAACAAATAAGAATGTCACAATTCACAAGTCAATCAAAAGGCAGAGTCCAGAAAAAAAAGGGAAACCAAGCGGAGGAGCCAAGCGTTGAACTCCACTGGAAGCCCCCTTCTTGGGGTCGGTCCCGCCGTTGTTTCCACGGGCGGTTGAGTTGCTGATAGAACTGTCATTCTGGCTGGGGTGCACTGCACCGGGAGTGTAGGTGAATAGAGTCTTGGCATTGACCGCCGCTGGCAAGACAACTTGGGATAATGAATGGTTGAGGCCAGAAACTCAAATGTATGTAGTCATCGATGTAAGCAAGGTTCAATGTGAAGTCAATGTTTCTACTCATTTGTATTTTTTTTTTTTTTTTTTTTTTTTTTAGTGGTCGATACAGCCGACGATATCGGCTGTATGCCTTCCAAATATTCCTTTTCTTCCACATCCTTCCCCTCTCTCCTCTCCGGTCCACGTCACCCCTGAAATGCCTCCCCCAGCTAACCTCCAGCCAACCACAACCCCCGATCGGCACCGTCATCATCCATCCAATTTCGAAATTGAGTTCAATCCTATCAATCTTATCTTCGACACCCTCAAGAACCGCCCGTCGAAACAAAACTGCTTAATCTTTGTGAGTCCTTTGTGAGTCTGCGGCCATGTTATTCCCTCCGTTGCCTAACGCACCACGTTCTGACCAAGTGTTTGCCATTCAAACACCTCAGGCTATGCAACCGTCAACTGAAAACATCGGAATGGGCGAGTACGAGTACGAGGAGTCGTACATTGCACCAAGTCAAATGGCTCAAAGCGACGGCGCGTCGTGTCGGGTTTTTTTTGAGCCCTCTCAAGACAATGTGGGTTACATCCATTCGTATTCAAACGTCATGCAAGGGATCCCCTTGGCTGCCCTTCAAACAAGCCCCAATCCAGCGCCACCAGGCTTGCATGCGGCCAATCACCAGGGCTCTATCGGTCACATCGCGGTGGGTCATCAGCTGGCTTTTCCAGGTCAAGATCCTCGTCTTCAAGGACCAATGGCGTTTACCTCAAGCTCGCTCGGCCAACTCACCGCAATGCCCAATCCTTGTGTGACGCAGATTTCGACCGCGGGGGCTCAGGCGACCCTCACCTCTGACCAGACCGGCCACCTGATGTCGATGCCTGCAGGTAACGTGGGCCACATGGCGCCGCCTCATCCTCAAGTCACGGGCCAGGCTTTGGCGAGGAACCCCACTTGCGCCCATTCGGTTGCACCAAACCTGGGTTCAGGCGGCGAGGTGGCAGCGCGCCCTATCCTGATCGATTACATCGTCTTCATCTGATCGGCGCAGAATCAAGCGGTTGGGTCCAGCAAAGCGACTCCTTCGGTCAAAGAGTGGGACCGATTGGCTTTGACGGCCGAAACGGTCTTCAAAACGGACATTACGCGTTGGGACTGGCCCAGTTTGCAGGCAAGGATCCTCTCAATCCTCGAGGGTCCACATGACCCCATGGGCCTCGAGGGCCCCGGAGAGTTACTTCGGAAGCATTTCGACGCCCTCGCGGACTCCGGCCTGCTCAAGTGGCAGTGCGTCCTCAACTCGCATCGTACGTATGGCCACATAGGCCACTACTATGTCACTTGTGATGAACAGTGGAAAGTCTTTGTCAATGTGGCCTGCCACAAGGAAAATTTGGCGAAGAAAATCTTCATCAAGCTCCTGATGGATGATCCTTGCAAAACGGTGAAGGCCGCTGAATCTGTAAGTTTGCCTCTCACTAGTCATCGTTGTAGTGGGCATGAGACTCATGGGCTGCTGAATCTGGACTACTAGGCAAAGAAGCAAAACAATAACCTTGTAGCCCAATATGGGACAAACCCGGAGCGCATTGCCATGGAACGACTAAATTCTCGTCTGGCCAAGAATGTGAGTGTTCGATCTGTCTCGGCGTTGCCTTGTAGACACACTGATCTCTGAACTGGCCACTCTTGTCGTGCTTTCAGCCCAAGGCTGACACAGATGCTAAGGATCGGGTCCAAAAGGTCGCCGATCTATCAACCTACATTTGCGAGAAGTACGGTGCTAATTCAGAGTCCTTGAGGATCAAGGACCCCGACAACCCAGAGAGGTCGATCCGGATCACATCAAACGGGCTGGGAATATGGGGCCGTGCGTTGTTTAAGAAAGCGGACGGGGTGGACTTCGACCGGCCTCCGCAGACGGACGAGTTTGTATCAGAGCCTATAACTGTGTTCACTCGCGATGAGGAAGCCGCCCGGGTAGCTACTCCAAAGACCCCAAAGAACAAAGGCCCCGCCAAAGGAGCGATTCGCCGCTCAGCCTCGTCGATGGCCTCCGGGAACCACAAGCACGGGTCTCCGTCTGGGATCAGCCCAGCAGCCCCACGGTTCACTGGCGTCCGCAAGACCCCGGATGGGCGGATCAGGCCGCCCAAGTTGATCGCATCCCCAACCTTATCGTTGGACCCCAACGATAAGGTCTCGTCCCCGAGCCTGGGTAGACCCGAGTCGATAAATCATCTGCATGTCCTGGGGAAACGGGGCTCGGATGCCTCTTCAGTCTCCAAGGCCCCCGACCCCAGCGGGACCGACGAGTCGGAGAAAGTGACGGACGAGTCCGCAAAATCTGAAGACCGAGGGTGTTCGACGACCGAGTCAGATGCTGAGGCGGAGGTCGTGGACATCGATCCGTATGTCAGAGGACAGTCATCAGACGGTACCGATATCGAGCTGGTCTCCGGTGATCAGGGGGGTCCCGGGTCTCATCCTTCACCGGCTCGTAAGATACCTCGTGTGGCAAACACCAGTGCCAATCGCATTGCGCACACGATCAGTCGCCTGGAGTTCCATACTCCAGGCCCACATGATGCCTCTCCACAAGACTCCCCGGGAAACCTGGCCGCGGCGGCGACTCCGATTCACAATGGTGTCGCGCACACGATCAGTTGCCTGGAGTTGCATCCTCCTGCTCCACATGATGTCAATCCTGTGGAGCAGGAGCCGTCCGGAATCCAGGCCGCGCCGGCGATTCCGAATCAACAAGCCGTGGCGAGTCCAACCCCTGGCGAAAACGGTGGCCCTCCCGCTCATGAGGTGGCGGCCCTGGAGGCTGAGCCGGACGGTCCCCCATTGAACGAGGCCGGTCGCACCCTGCGAATGGAGGACTTTCTAGCCCTGTGCAACTTTGACGCGAACGATATGGTACCTCGGGTCCTCATTGACGTCACCCACATCCGACACTGGGACTTTTTCCGTGACATGACTGTAGTTGAGTTGCAAAGGATGGGCTTCCCTTTTCCAATTGCAAAGCAATTGATTAAGGGGGCCCGCGGTTTAGAGGCGACTCACACTCAGACTAATCCCCCCAACGCCGAACACGCTGACACGGCCCGCCCCATGATTTGATGCGGTTTCTTAGCCAAATCATCCATCTTTATTTTACCGATAGGCTTATTAATGTTTTTCATGTTAGATGAATGACATGCCCTGCGTAGTTGCGTACTCATTATGTTATACCAGCCTCATGCCAACTGTGATTCATCCCAGACTGTCATTATTGTGTTGGTCGCTTGCCGTCTATTTATTGTATTTAGCCCATAACAGTTTGATTCCCTAAGATTAAGTCAGATGTAATCAACCACCGATGACTTAGCTGCCCAAATGACCAAGTCCAGCTGAAGAAAGATTCTCTACAACTGCTTTCATAGAAGCCCCTGATGGGTGCTGGGGGCTCTGTTGGATCACTTATCTATCCATGCATCGGTACCTCTGTTGGATCATTTATCCAATCCAAATTAGTGGGAACTCGACCCTTGACTCAGAACAAGTAACTCTGGGGTCTATCTGTTAACTTGGACAAGACACTTGATCATCGCGGGTAAGGTGTGCGATGCTTAAGTCTTTGTTATGTTAACAAGACACTTGATCATCGCGGGTAAGATGTGCGATGCTTAAGTCTTTGTTCTACGACCAAAAAAAATGATCATGTATTCAGTCTAAGACTGTAAAGCACAATATTTCTAGACAATATCAATGATTATGTATTCGGTCCACGACAGTAAAGCACCATAATTCTAGACAATATCGAACCAAGCCTTATAATTCTAGACAACATGAGTGACTACCTTGACTAACTATTGTCCCTCGTAACCGCTCCCGAGGAATAACGATCACATTAACTCAGGAGTTACCATGCGTTCCATGTGCTCCTCAATGCGGTCGGGATCGTCATCATCGCCAGTGAGCAGGCGGTTTCTCTTCAGCTGGGATTTGAGCACCGAGAACACCTTTTCAATGGGGTTCAAGTCGGGCGAATACGGAGGCAGATAAATCAGCAGGACTCCTGCGGCCTCGCAAATCTCCGCAATACATCCATTATGGTGCGTCTGAGCGTTATCCATCACAATCACACTGTTGCGTCCCGGGAAAGGATTCATACGGGGCAGCTGAGGAGGATGCCGGGCCATCAGCCCGTTGGTCAAACAAGCCACAAGAAACAGGCAGCCTTGCACTCACCAGAACCTCGGCCAAGAAGAATTCTAAATCCCATCGGATAATTGACCCGGGTTGGCACATTATAGCCAACAACCCATCAAGACATACCGCGGGTAATACACTAAGACAAGCAGAAGGCAGAGGCCTCGGCAGCCGACGAGTCCGACACCCCCGCGGGGCCCAAGCTCGGTCGCGAGAGTGGGATCGAACGGACACCGCACACTCGTCTGGATGGAAGCAGGATTCATCAGACAAAAGATCAGGCAGAGTCCGACAACCAAGCACGGCAGACTCACCCAAGAATACCAGGTAATTAGCTGGAAACGGTCCAATCTGGACTATGTATTCGGCCCGCCTGATCGGACATTGGGCAGGATGCACCGTCCTGGCAACCTTTTTTGTCATTCCAAGTCGCCTCTTCAACTCGTCCGAGAGGGTCGATATGGGGTGGCGGGTGCCCGTCAACGCCTCGATGTGAGATTGGATCTCGTCCAGATAGAGCGTCGGTTCTTCTTCAAGAGCCTCCAAGACAAACCGGCCCTCTTCGCGGGTTAGGGCCAAAGGACGACCTCGATCCAAGTACAGCGCCGGGTCGCGCACAACATCTCGAGTCTCTTGATAGAGCTGATTCCAACGGCGGAATGAATCAGGCGAAATGTTCAAGCCCAGCGCTTCGTTGATCTCAGCTTGGGATAGTCCACGCAAGACCATTCGGACCACGATGAACTTGACGTCACGTTGGTATAGCACATAGACCATATCGACTGTAACAAACAAATCCTGCTGATGTGAATCAGCCATTCATTCAATGCGTAGCGCAGGGAGCGACTTCCGTGAGTGAATAGAGCTTACACAGGTGATCTTAGTCTAATCGGGTTGGATGACGGTAGTTTTGGATCGGATCGGGCTTCGATTGAGAGGAATTGACGTTGAACAAAATGTCGAATCCGGTTGGATGATGACGGTGCCGATCGGGGGTTGTGGTTGGCTGGAGGTTAGCTGGGGGAGGCATTTCAGGGGTGACGTGGACCGGAGAGGACAGAGGGGAAGGATGTGGAAGAAAAGGAATATTTGGAAGGCATACAGCCAATATTGTCGGCTGTATCGACCACTAAAAAAAAAAAAAAAAAAAAAAAAAAAAACCAGGCTCGCGAACCGCAAGCTTTATCGAAATGGCTGTAAGTGCTAATTGATATTGACATTGCGCACTACTGTGAAAACTGTACTACGAATACATGCGATGACGTTTTGTTGACTGAAAAGGAGATACAAAAGATACTTAAGTAATAAATTTTTGCCTTCTAGAATATATCTTGTTTTAACTGACATTAAGATTGATAGAGAAAAAAAAGGAAAAAGTTGAAATAAAAGAAGCGGGATGGAAAAAAGTAAAGTAAAAACCGTTTTGAAGATAAGGAAAAAATAAAATCCACCTCTTATTAATCGAATCTGAGCAGTAGGGAAAGCCGATGACTTCGACTCTCTGCGTCTTGTTTCCCAGGCAAGGCGCATTGTGGAGCCCCAATCCACAACCTCTAGATTTGATGTGTTCGAGGGAGAGTTAAAGCCATCGACTAACCTGCTTATCCAGACCGATGAACCCCCGATATGCTTTTGAACGAAAACTAATTAGAGTACAGTGATTAGATCTCCTTTTGAATGAGTAACGTAGTATAGATGATGCGAACTGGTGTGACGATTGAAAATAAATGGTAAGAAAAAAATAAGGAAATTAAAAAGAATTTAGGAAAAAAGATAACAGATAACAGATACGAGACCAAGCGAGATACGAGAGATAGAGAGACTAAGAAAAGATGTTAAGAAACACGAGGATGAAAATATAAGAAGAAATTGGAAATGCGGAAATGATAAGCAGTTGATGAATAACCGATAGATATTTGTTGAAAGAAATATTATTATTAGTTTTTTCATTTTTTTTTTTTTTATTATTCTTTTTCATTGTTGATATAGTATTGTATGTTCTTGAATCTTTTTGTTTCTATTATGAAGTCGGCTAAAATTTCGAAGTTGTTTGGCGAGTCGAGTATTGATTTTGTTGAAAATATGTTGATTTTGATTTTTTTTTCTTTGATTTTTTTCCGATAGTTTTTCCTTTGAGTATGATATTTTTTGCAATAGAGTAGAAAGTGATTTACATCTTCATTTTTGTTACAAGTTGTGCATAGTGGTGAATCTGCTCGTTTTATTGAAAATAAAAAGTTGTTGAGCGGACAATGGCCTGATTGAAGTTGATATATGGCGGCGCTTCCACCTCTTTCGATTTGGTTGAGTTTGTTGAAGATTTTGGTCGGCGGCGTTGTAAGTTTAATGTTGTTCCGAATTATTGGTGGTTTGAGTTTGTTGAAGTTGAATAGTTGTCGGATTTTTTGTTGAAAAGTTGAGAGTGATTGTGGTTGATCTTCAAGTTGAAAGAGTTGATTATCAGTTGTTGCTTCTTTGGCGAGGTTGTCGACCTTTTCGTTTTCCGGGATTCCCACGTGTGCCGGGCACCAAAAGAGTTGAATTGGAGTGTTTGTGTTGGAGGTGATTTGTTTTAGTTGTTGAAAAATTTTGTTAAATCTAAATTGAAGAGAAACTGGTCTTGGGGGTCTTGAGATTGCCGTAAGTGTTGCTTGATTGTCGCAGAAAATGTTGATTTGATTGTTGAAGGTGATTTGTCGGTTTTCGGGGTTTCTGTTGTTGAAGTTGTTGATGAATATTTCAAGTCCGATGTTGATTGCTGTGACCTCGGCTTCAAATGATGATGAGTCTTCGGCGTTGTTGATTCGACAGGCAAATGATGCTGAATTGTTGAGTAGAGCTGCAGCCGCCGTTCCTTGTCTTGGGATGTTTGAGCCGTCAGTGAAAATAAGGTTTTCGGAGTTGTTTTTCTTCTGGTTGATTTGTTTTGTAACTGTTTCTCGTGCCTCTTCTTTTTTGATCTTCATGTTATTGATTTCAAGGTTGAAGTCTTCCCATGGTGGTATTTGATGGTGATGAATGATTTCGATTTTGTTGATGTTGAGTTGGGTAAGAAGTTGTCGTTCAATCATGTGGTGGATAGGAGAAGGGTGAGAGGGAGGGCGATATGATAGATCTGAGGTTAAGAGGCGTTTGATTGGATGCTGATCGGAAGCTGTTAGTTTTTTTATAAAATAGAGAAGGTTTTTTCTTTTTAATATGTCAAAGAATGGGATCAGTGGGCTTTCTCGTTTTAGGAAGTTACAAGGTGTGGAGCGGAACAATCCTAGTATCAATCTATTAGCTTGATTTTCTATTTTATTGATTATATTCTTGACTTGTTTCTTGTTTCTTTCGGTAGTCCATATCATACTACCGTAAAGAATTCTTGATCTAAGAACACTGATAATCAGGTTCCTAGATTGTTGCAAGCCTATGCCAAAAGAGCATCTTGATATTCGAATCAGTTGCGCGATAGTTTGATCTCCACATTTTCGGACTTTTTTGAGGTGATCGTTGAACAACAACTTGGGGTCAAAGATGATTCCGAGGTATTTGGTGTTGGTTTCTGGGGTTAAAGAGAATTCTCCAAACCTTAGGGGAATAGGATTAATAGAGCGGTGAGTAAAAATCATGAATTTTGCTTTCTTTTTATCAAAGATAGCATTATGGGTGGCACCCCATTGTAATGATCTTTCGCCTTCACTTTCTAATCTGCGCACAGCTGACTCTGCGTCTCTGTTTGCAATCAAATGGGTAACATCATTGATAAACCCAAGAGATATTGAATCTTGGTTTAGATTTAAAGGATTGTCGATAAGGAGGGATGAGTTATATATAATGTATAGGATTGGTGAGAGGGGTGATCCCTGTGGCAGACCGCATTTCAGATTGAAAGGGGATGATATGAAATCCTCCATCTTAATCGAGGTTGAACGATTTGATAACATGCTATCTATTATGGCGGATAGGTATGGAGGGGCATTCTTTTTTATTAGGATGTCTGTCATTCTTTCTCTGATTACTGTAGGATAAGCGGATTTTACATCTAAGAAGAGTGCTGTAACCACCTTCTTTTCTCTCCATTTCTGTTTGATCCAGGATGTTAAGAAGAGATTAGCATCATCTGTGCTACGGTTAGCTCTTCCTCCAAAGTGGCCTTCTGCTAAAATATTGTTGTTTTCTGCCCAAAACGTGAGTCGATTTGTTATGATATTTTCAAACAGTTTGCTGAGGCAGGAAAGAAGCGCTATTGGTCTATACGATCCAGGAGCAGCGTATGACTCTTTATCCGCTTTACGGATGATGGCTGTGGTGGCATGTCTCCAAGCCTTAGGAAAGTATCCGATAGATAGACAAGCCGAGAATAACTTAATGAGATGATCTGTGGAGTCGTTAACACTCCACTTTATCATTTCGTTAGCTATATCATCATGACCGCGAGCTTTTTTGATGGGGAGGTTAGCAACGATTGTCTTTAACTCTAAAGGGGAAATGGTTGGGAAAGATAAAGGGAAAGTGAAAGAGGGAGTGAGGAATTATTTGGTAGATATGTTAATAGGCGCATCCGAAGTTCCTTTAAATAAAAGGTTTGCTTGCTCTTCTTTATTAGATGTTAAGATACCATTTTCATCGAGCAGTGGGGCAACACTTCCATGATTCGTAGGTTTGGTATACTTGTAAGCTTTAAAAATCTGATGATCTTTGCATTCAGCCAAGAATCTTCTCCAGTGATTCTTTTTCAGCTCAAATACTTTTTCCTTAAATAGTCGTTGCCAGTATTGGTAGCAATTACAAGAATTCATCGATTTTGATAATAGCATCCATTTGCGAGCTCGGTTTCTGTTATCAGCAATCGGGCCTAGAATTTTTTTATCCCACCATGGTTTTGCTTTTGTTGGATTATTTTTAACTGTTTTTTTTTTATTTTCTAGAGTTTTTTGAAACGAAAGGGTTAGTTTATCAACATAGTCATCAATTTCATTCGGGTTTGTTAGTAAACAATTTTCAATGTTGTTAATAGAAAGCTTTAAGTCTTTGTTGAATCTTTCAGTTTCAATCTCCTCCAGATTGTATGTTTTCCTATTGTTGATCTGAAACTGAGGGGAAAAGTTGAGGTCAAGGTGGATAGCTTGGTGATCAGATCCATGATTGTTGTGTGAGGTATTGCATTTCTGGATCGTTTTCTGGGCTGAAATGTTGCACCAAGTGAGGTCGATGGTTGTTGCGCTGCTTCTCTTTGTCGAAAAAGTGGGGATGCCCTTTTCGGAGATGATTTTGAAACCTTGCCTGCCGCAAATTCTAATCAGTTCTTTTGCTTCATGATGAGAGTGAAAGTAGTTAGCTGGGTTCCACAATTTGTGATGTAGATTTGAGTCCATAAAAATAAACGAGGGTATTCTTCTGTTGTTGAAGTCAGTTAGCCATTTATTTAGTTCAGCAATGGCTTCAAAATTTTTAGGGGGATTGTAAACATTAATTAGTCTTATTTTCTCAATTCCGTAAGTATTCACATCTATTTCTATTGTAGACAGTATCCGAGATCCTCCATCAAGGGGGTGAATTCTGTCTGATGTATATTTTTTATTGATCATAAAGCAGACCCAATGTTTATCGTGGTAGTTTTTGGGGCAATGATTGTTATCCAAAAAGGTAGACCAGCTATTGTGAAAGGGTAATTGCATGGTGTGGGGGTTAATCCACGGTTCTTGAAGGATTAAAATATCGGCTTCTTTTTCTGAGTTCAGTAAGCTGTGGGTGACTTCAAATGCGTTATGACAATTTAGTTGAATGATTTTAAAGAGAGAATGTGAAGAGGGTTCAGAATGCGTCATATTAGACTGATTAAGTGTAAGATAAGATTTGTGTTTATTTTTATTTGCGGGGGTTATGTTGTAACTAATCATTGATTAATGATGTTACGTCGAAAATTCTTTGTTTTTAAGGGACACTTAAGGCTTAAGGGTGAGTGAAGGAAGCGGGGGTTGTTTTGATCAATCTCAGCTCCCGGGTTATTTTCTCTTTCATGTTGAGTGCACTTAATGCACGATTCAACCGGAGTATCATTGTTACAGTCACGAGAATTATGTTCGTCGCCACAGAACTTGCATAACGGTGTGTTCTTACACACCTGTGCAGTATGGCCTACTTCTAGGCATTGAAAGCATTGCATTGGGGATTTCTTATAATGAGCTCCTTTGAAAAATAGACCCTTAAAAAACAGTCCACCTCTTTCTATTTTTTTTGAAACTTCTTTATCGAGAAGGTTCATTATGATTGAACCATGAGCTTTTTTATTAGCTTGAGGGTTTCCTAACCAGCGCATGCTTTGGATAACTTTAGTATCCATTCCATTATTCTCTCTACATAAATCTGCTATAGTAGCCTTGTTTGTAGGTGTAAACGAAATCGGTACGGTGTGAATGATCACCGGGAAAGAGGTCTGTGGGGTGACTAGAGCAGGATCACATAAGTGGGTCCATTCATGCTTGTGTTCTAGGAGCCAGTTAGTGGCAAATCTAGTTGGCGTGAAAAACTTAACATCCCCCGAAGGGAGAATTATTGCTCCTTTAACAGTTATAGGAGTGCCATCATCTGTCTTTGCTTCCATATCGGAAAGGACTGAATTCACTTTCTCAGTTATTTGCGCGGGGCTCTTCTGGATGAAGGCCTGGGCCTCTGGGACTGTCTTACGGATGATGAAAAAGGATGGTTTGAATTCATTGATTATACGAGCACTAGGGGGAGGACGAACAATATTGTTATTGGCTGGGGAACTTGTTTTCTTAACAATAGAAGACCAGGTAGATGGGGGGGGCTTAGTGGGGGAAACGGTTTTTGACATGGATTTTTCAATTGCATCCAGTCTAGAAGTAATCTTATCCATCATGTTAAGAGTTTTAACGTTGATGAATTCTTCGACTCCAATCAAAGATTTTAAGAGCTGGACTTTATCCGGTGTTATTATAACACTACCATCCGCTTCTGGGTTCATGATGAGTTTGGAGATGATCTTTAAGACACCTTGATTGTCTGGATTGTGGCGAGATTGGTTTAATGGTGGGTTAGTAGAGGTAGATGAGATAAGGGAGTTGTCGTGATTATGAGTGTTTACGTCAGATGATGTCATTTCAATCTCATGATATTGAGGTTGATCATCATGATCATCCGGAGGCATATTGACCGTACCGGGGGGCATAGCTTTAGCTATCCTTGCCTGATAAGGTTGAAACCTTTTATGAGGAGATTTATCGGAGAACTCAATTATTACAGAGTCGGAATGGGAAATGGGAGTGACGATGGGGATGGGGAGGAGATAAGATGGGAGATTGGGGTCTTTTGATGAGATAAGATTAGAAAATACTTAGTTAGTGATGATAGAGAAGTTCGGAGAATTGATTTGGATGAGATGAGAGGTGGTCGATTTTTTGTGGTTGAAGTTGAGTTTTCTACTCATTTGTATGTACCATTCAAAAAGATATTGTGATTCTTCAAAAAAACAAAAATAAAATCGTTCTGCACATCAGATTGGTTTGATTACACTTTTCATTCCGGATGCGCTGTTGCTATGGCAAGAAGAGTTGAGGCTGGTCTTTAGATGTCTTGGATGTAACGGTAACGATATGCATTCAATCTGCTTTTGTATTTGTATCTCTCCATTGCACCTTTGCGGCTTTCACCGATCAGCCGCCCGCCTGCCATTGGGGACATTGGGAGAATTGTACACAAAGTTTGTATGAGCGTATCTGCGAACTCGTGCAGTGCCTACATGCCACTGCTGTTGAAGGTCCGATGGCATACACGTGGCTTGGTGGTAGTGACGAGTCCTATGTATGGTACTTGTTTGCCGTTGGTGGGTTGTCAGCTTGCTTGAGGTGAAGAAGTCCTGACGACTCACTCACATCCTAACAAAAACTTGTCTACTTGAACGAACTCACATAGCTGGCGCAACCAGTAGAATTGAAATTAAATTATTCTGCTTGACTAGCAAACTCCTCACTTACCATCTGACTGGAATTGGTGAGTCACTTAATTCTTAACATAGCCTTGAGTAGATTCAAAAAAGTGGTCGGATTATAATCCTGATACATCTTTTTTGATCTCCTTAAATTACCCAGAATTGAAGCCTAATCGCTGAAAATGAGACTGTTATTGATTGTGGCCGCATTGATCCCTTTCGCTTATCTTCGTAAGTCATCGAGTACGGATATCAAAGGTTTCCTCATGAGTCAGTGTTGGTGAATCAAACTAACCTCCCTCTCCTTTCTTATGAAATTTTTCCTTTCAGTGGAGCCTGAGAGGCAACTCCAGCCAGATGGAAAAGGATTTCGGAAACGCGCGTATCGTGATCCCATTGCGATAGTCAAAGCCCCCGCAAAACGGAAGAAACGTAACACACCGAATAAACCAAATAAACCAAATAAACCAAATAAACCGAGTGAACCGAGTGAACCGAGCGAAACGAATACTTCATCGATTGACCTGGGGCCTGGATTCCTTCAACGGCCGCATAAAGATGATACGATTTATGCGTTGTACTCTGGAGCAGACGGGTACTATACCGAGATGTTTAATTAATGCCTAGACTGCGTGATCTGCCATGCAGCTTTTTCGCATTGTGGATTGCACTCATCATAATCCGCTTCAAATTTCTAAACAGATTTCTACTATTTAACAGTGTCAAAGACTTTGACTGTCTGGATGGATTTTTTATTTCAAGTGCCTATTTGGTATGGCATTGCGAACTATGCATATGCAACTTATGACAAGTAACTACAGGATTAGCTGGCTTATATTTTCTTGCACATATTTAAATTTTACATTATATATTCTTATTTTTCATCTACCTATATATATTTTTGCTTATTGACCTAGTCGATTCCTTACTCTTTCTCTGGACTCAATTACAGTTATCTGATTTGAAATTTCAATGAATTGTTTCACCTAGCGCTAGATCCTGTGGGGTACCTGGCACCCCAGCCCAAGGGTACCCTTGAGCCTGGAAGGCAAAAGAGGAACGGGTCATGGGAATTTTTTTTCAAGCCGGGGGTTTTTTAACACAGGTAAACCCTTCAAGCCAGGGGTATACTCATCATGTACTTGAGTCCCTAGGGCTTGGCCTAAGGATGATATTTGGGCAGGTTTAGGCTGCCCACGGGCTAACCCAGCTCAACCCACTCTGTAATTGGACAGGCCGGGCCGGGTTCAATCACCTCATTTTGCTGTCCGGCCCAAACCCGTGTCCGCAATGAGGTGGACATGGGCTGTCCAGCGGCAGCCTGGTGGGCTGAGGGTCCAGAGGATCCAGCGGCAGCCTGGTGGGCTGAGGGTCCAGAGGATCCAGCGGGCCACCCGCTCAAAGCCTACCAGGGCCCCATGGGCAGGCACAACAAGGCAATAATAAGGCAAGAGAAAGTTTGACTTTGGATTTCAGAAATCTCAATTGGAGGAATCATGATTGATTAGAATCCAAGTACAAATGAAATAAGAAAACTAAGCCTCCTTTAACCAGTCTTGGGCACACAAGAGTGCTTCAGCAGTCGCTTGATTGAGTTGGCTGCAATAATCCAAAACAGCTAATTCCCTAAAACCTGGAAATTTTCACGATAATTCCGCTCTGTGAAGGGTACCGTTGTTGACCTTAAGTCTTGGAGCCCCTGCTTCCAAAAGTACAGCTCAACCTCCACCTTTTATACCCGCCGACCCTGGCTCACTTCCTCCACTCCATCACATCGACCCTGGCTGACTGCCTCCACTTCATCTCAGAATTTTTCCTTATCCAATGCCAGTCCCTGTACTTCCTAAAATAATTGTTTTTTTGTCCCGCTCTTCCATAGCTAAATCTGTAATTGTGCTCAATCCTCAAGCGTTGAAGATCACAAGGTTTAGGGGTGATTGTACTGAGCCAAATTTGGCAGAAGGAATAGACCAAATGCGAAAAGACAGAATTAGAACCGATTAAGTCAATAAAATGCCTCCAAAGATGAAAGAAAATTGATTTTGGAGGGAAGCGATTGACTATGAGGGATGGAACTGTGACCGAAATTCCTCAATCTGAACTTGACACCATCCAGTAACTATCCATAATCTTCTTTCCTCCTCCACAGGCACTGTTATAGACCTTAAGTCTTGGAACCTGATCCTCTCCACTTGTTGTTGCCCCTCCCCTGTTTTATACTCATCAGCTTGCCACATCCACACTGCGGCGTTTGTCCTCAATTCTTCTATATTAGGCATAATTCATTCCTATTGTTCTTTTTCAAATCTCAGTCAAGCTCACTGCACAACTACCATACACTTAAACCAGTCTACGACAACTTCAACAATTTCATTGTTCAGCAACCCCCCACAGCTATTGCGAACTAGCAAACTCATTGCGCCAGGGTCTGAGTGAGATTGGATGAGAGGAATGGCAGCCCAACAGCAATTTTGAGAGTCGAGCACAGCCTGTTCGTCGGGCAAGAAGTGAGAACCGCAATGGTCGATTCCACACTGATGTCTGCTACCAAAGATGGTAGTGAGGACGAAGTGGTAGTGAGGTCCCGCTCGTTGAAGTTTGATGTTCAGGACGCATCCGGAGGGTAAATAATTTGGGCCTTCCGTCTTCTCCACTTTGAGTAACTCCTCAATCACTCCCATCGTCACATTCACAAAAATCTCGCTGCTCTTCTCATCATCCCCACTCTGGTAACAGTGCCGGTTTTCATCATCCGCCGAAATTGTGATTGCGGCCACACCCCACCTCGAGCCTAACACCGCCGCTCCAAGTGTGCCCGAGAATTGATTCTCAAGTCCCGTGTTTTCTGTTGAATCCCATTGATTTGTTTATAACTTATAAGCCCCCCCCCACATCAGCTTGCTTCCACCTTCACTCAGCAGCTCGCGACACCGTCACCTCTTCTTTTGTTCTCAAGTCCTCTATAAACAGTGATCTTTTTCAAAAAAAAGAGTTCAGATTAAGATGAATGAAACCAAGAAATCAATACACATCGACACTTCTCAGGATGAATTTTAAGGGTGGGGAGGAAAGAAAAAGGATGTATTACTTCTCTAAGTATTGCGACTTTAGCACTAAGACCTTCGATAGCCTTGTCATTCTGAGATTCCAGTTCTACGGCTGTTCGATGATTTGAGAAGGAAGAAGAGGAAGAGGAAGAGAATAGGAGTTGCTGATCATAGGAGCCATACAACCAGCCATAATTTGGGATCGTCGTCGCTCCTGGATTTGGCAAGGGAATGTTATTGTAGGATGGTGTCCTTGGCAGTAAGGCTGCTCTGTTCGGATCTCGGTGCGTCAATCTATTTTTTTATCGTTGAGTTGTTGATTAGCTAATTTGCGAATTTAAATAAGAAGAATAGGAGGAAAAGGCTGCTTACTTGCTCATCGTGAGATTTTTGTTTTGCTTTGTCCACACTTGAAAGTGACTGGTAGGTACGAGGTGGTAACCTGAGGAGTCCTTCTGGGTAGATGATGTCGATGATGCTTCAGACGCGGATAATGGTACCAAGGAATTTGGGCCCTCTTCTTGGATCGGATTGGCCACCACTCAATTCCCCTCAAACGGCTTCATGGACTATCAAGACCACTGGGATGATCAACCAGCAACAACCGTATAGAAAAAATTCAATGGTTTCAGATTGGTTGGGAAATGGAGGCATACTTGTTTCATATCTCATCCACTTTTGTCTCCTTTCCCAAACCGTTTTGTTTGAGGCAGAAGATCTAGAAAAGAAGGGCACAATTGGACTTTTATGTACTGCAATATTCTTCACTTAAGATTGCAACATGCAGGCCTCAGATGAACATCTGCTCACCTCTACTTCCATCATAATATTTCCTTTGTCTACTCCAGCTCATCTCCTTCTCTGTTTCATCTACTTGAAGAATCTGCTTCTCAACTTCCACATCTCTTCCCTCCACCAATAAATAAAAACACATCTTTTGCATACATTGATACACAATCTTTTGAATACGTTGATTTCTTACTTCAATTGACAGAATGTTAAAATTGCCACGGTTGCTTCATCTGCAATAGCTTCTCTTATTCTCCAATACACAACAACAGCTCATGCTTGGTTCAGGATTCCAGTGAAAATTGAGTCCACCTTGCTGTGTAACTTTGAAAAAAAGAAAAGTTGGGCAGAATCTTGCCCAAATTCAAGTAATACTCGGGGACAAGATCTCAATGCAGAATTGGCTCTGGATTGAGGAAGTTGACTGGAGCTTACAAGACTTGAAACATCACCTGCTACCCTTCGCGGGTATTAAAATTATTTTTGGAGGTGATTTTGGTCAGACTTTGCCAGTTGTTAAGAGGGCAAACATGTTTTTACAAGCTAAACTCTTCATGTTAAATTTGTACCTCTGGCCCACAATTACTCAGTTTCAGTTGCATAAGAACATTTGTTGGCTTCTTGACATCGGCCAAGGAAATGGTCAAGTTGACTTTGTTCAAGACATTTGACTTGAATTTGGACTAATCTTAGTTGAAAAAGCTGTAAGCAACCTAGCAATATCTTTAATCAGATTTTTTACCAAGCCCTTATCTGCAGCAACATTTCTCAAACTGGATGTATGGCTGATTGATAAAGAAAAAGGGCTATAATTACTCCCCTGAATAAATATGTCGAAGAATTAAATGGGCAATGTAATTGATGCCAGGCCAGTCATTTTTCTCCACCTCAATTGATCAGATGACCAACATTACAGATAACGTGGTTCCTGTAGAAGTCCAATAATGTATACATACCACACTTCCCAGACCCCAGGATTGGCCTCAAAATTGGAATGCCTATCATGATTTTGTGAAACCTATGCTTACAAGACCGCTTGGCAAATGGTACAAAAATGAATTTCAGAGATATGCAGCCTAACATCATCCAAGCCAAAATCCTGACCGGACCCCACACTGGGATTGAATTGGCCTTTCTTGAGTAACACCGTTAGATAGTTTACCCATTGGACTGCTCTCAAGTGATAATGCAGCCAGAACATGATGAAAATTGTAAATAAACCACTTTTAGATAAGCATCTATCCCCAATAAAAGGTACAGTTTAGGAACTGATCCTTAAATCATCTACTACATTTGAACATTTGTCTCTATGCCAGAAATTAATCCATAAAACGTGGCGCCAGCCACGCTTTTCCCTAGTCCTCTAAAACACACACCCCAGTCAAGAAGGCAGATTCTGATGCCACTGAGGTGGCAGGGGTCATCAAATGTCTCTTATATATTATTTGGAAGCCTTGTATTTCAGTTGTCCATTTATTGGTTGTTGATCGTGATTTTAAAAATCTAACTTTCACATATTCAAGAAAATTGTAGATGTTGAGCAAATGAACATCTGAGTTTTGCAGGAGTGAAAAAAGTAGCCCCATGAGGGTCAAGACACAGGATTAGAATCTGACTTTATCATCGCGGATTTCACACATAATACCAATAAATAGAGATCTGATAGATTAGGAGTCAATTCAAGAAATGTAGAAGCTAAATGCATTGCAGACTTATTTTTAGTGTTACTGTGTGCGTTTTTGTTAAATTATGGTAGGCAATGGTCTGGTCTGGGAACCTGGGAAGTGAATATCCACTAGCATCTGAACTGAGGGCAGGCTAAAGCACTAAAACAAGAGCCCGTGGGCACCCACCAGCCAACCTGTGCCCAACCCATGCCACTTAGTGATTTTAACAGGACAGGCCAAATTCCAAAAAATCCACAAAAGTGCTGTCCGCGCCCGGCCCAAACCTGGCCGGGTTTGGGCAGCCTATTGGAAACCCAGCCCAATTATCATCCTTAGCTTGGTCCTTTGGAAGACCCTGTCTGGACTCTACCATTGATGGTGAGTTGTTTCCTTGGCATCCCAGCCACAAGTGCACCTTCAGAATTGGTTTTCTCCCAATCAAAAACTATTATTGGCTAACAGAAACACACCTCAGCTACTTGTCAATGGAGCACCTCCTTTGTGTCAAAGAATGGTTTCAGAAATTCAAAGAGATGATGGATAACTCAACTGTCAAGAACGGTAAAGCCAACAGTGAAGATGAAGATGGTAACAACATCAATTCCAATGGTGACTCCAAAAGCAATAGCATTTCACCCTGCAAGGGTTTTTTTCTTTCTCTTTATCTTTTTTTTCACCTTCACTACAATTAATCTCCATTATACGATAAAACTAAATTGCAATGAAAACAAAATAGCTGTTTTACTTTCTTTCTTAATGTGCCATTTCCAACCACAAGATACCCAGCACACCTGTCAGGATCTCTGAGGTGGTCTGTGTATGGTTCCCAGAATACCTGCTGGTGCCTGGGAGCCTCAGGATGAGTCCTGGAGACCTATACCAGTGGTGCAACCATTGTGATTCCTTGGAGACAAAAGGAACAAGGTTCAGAACTAGTTTCACCCCTTTCCTTTATGATAAACTTAAAATCCACATTCCCCATTGATCACATTAGGTGCTATGAGGCACGGAATGGTTAGAGGTGAGAATAGGTCATGGCAATCCCTGGCTTGCCCCAAACTGTGGTCAGATTTGAGTTGATTGTTGGGTCTTGAAATGCATGGGGAAAAACATAGGTGGCCCTCAGTGGGCCAGGTGAGATGGAGAATTCATACATCCATATGGTGGTGATAGGTTCCCTCCCTCAGTTCATGTCAACATCAATTTTGTTGAGTGTGACCAAGGATGTTGAGCCCAAAGTTCACAGACTAAATTTCCTGTGACACTTGGGAGTGAGAATAAAGAGGTTCTGATTCACTAAGGGAAGAAACTCCAGAAACAATCTTGTGTAGACTATATACAGGATTGTTTTGTGTTATGGTTGAAGCATACTAACATACCAATACAACATATACCAACAAACTCTGATCAGATTACACAGGATGCCAGAATAAAAACAGAAACCATGGAATTTATCAGAAGGGAAAGGCTGCCTTGGAAGGTAGCTTAGAGGTGGGAGCTGGTAGTGGAAAATATACTAAAGACCAAAAACAAAACTACTGTGATATCTTAATTCCAATAGCAAGATACTATCCCCAGTCTTTTTATCTTTTAGTGATGGCTCTGCCTTCCCTGAGGAGGGATTGGAGGAAGCATTAAATCTGGTGAATCTAGGGGCAGCAATTGGGCTGGGTTTCCAATGGGCCACTCAAGCCTGATCAGGTTTGGGCCAGGTTTGGCCCAAACCCATTTGAGAAAAATAGACTGTCAGCCTGGCCTGTCACAGTGGTGGGCCGCTACGTTTAACTTTATATAGACTCTTATAAAGTTAATGAATAAGTTTGATTTTGTAAGGTTATTATTTCTTAATACCTTAACTCTGAGGAGAATCTAAATAACAAGATATATTGTGATGGGAGAAGGAAAGAAAGAAGACAAGGATCAAAATTTAACAGCAATATAAGATAAAAAAACAATTGATCAATAAATGAAAGATCAATGAAATCCAACCAATCAGGAACATGATCAAGAATAAAGCAAGGGCCTTAGCTAATTGACTCCCAAACTTGGGAGGATCGACTCCCAAATTTGGAAGTCATTGGGAGGAGCACTTGGGGACATTCCCACCCTTCTCCCATTCCTGCAGTAGGAATGGGAGTTGATTCTCTCAAGAAAATAATAAAAATATATCATTCCCTGGAATAATCTTCCGGGGAATGCCCTCCCAGCCATCAAGATTTGGACACGTTCAGCAGCCGGAGGGAATCCTCCCGGCCGTTGAAGTTCGCCCCCCCCCCCAACAGCCTATACGCTGGGAGTCATCACTCTCAGCCGTTGAGAGTGTACAATCAGGGTGTAAATGGGTCGGGTCAACCCGAGACCCGACGGGTCATGGGTCGGGTTTGGGCAGACTTTGTGAGAAAATCACATGACCCGAACCCGACCCGGAAGCTTAGCGGGTCGGGTTCGGGCAGGTGTTTTGATAGTCGGGCAGGTAAGTTTTTGTCATAATTGCTCTACAAAGGCTAAAATACTTGGGTCGGCCCAAACCCGACATGCAAACTGCCAACCCTAACCCGAAAAGTCCCAAGACAGGTTCGGGTCTGGGCAGCATATATTTGACCCGACCCAACCCGACATAAGTGTTGGGTCAGGTTCGGGCACTGTTTTTGGGCCCAAACTCGACCCATTTACATCCTGTGTGTACAAAACTCAGCAACCAAGAGGATTCCTCCCGGTCACTGAGAGTGTATACCTCTCAGTAACCGGAGTAATCCTCCCGGTTGCTGAGAGCTGTACAACCTGGTTGCTGAGAGTTTACACCTCTCAGAAACTGGAGGAATCCTCTCGGTTACTGAGAGTGTATCCTCCAGTCGCTGAGAGAATCCTCTTGGCCGCTGAGGGTGTACAGCTCTCAGCAACCGGAAGAATCCTCTTGGTTGCTGAGAGCTGTACACTCTCAGTGACCGGGAGGAATCCTCTCAGTTGCTTAGGTTTTTACACTCTCAGCGGCTGAGAGTGATAACTCCCAGCCGTTGAGGTGTGCAGGCTGGCGGAGGGGACGAACTTCAGCGGCTGAGAGTGATAACTCCCGGCCATTGAGGTGTACAGGCTGTTGGGGGGGGGGCGAACTTCATTGGCCGGGAGGATTCCCTCCGGCCGCTGAACATGTCCAAATCTTGATGGCCAGATTTGGAGGGCATTCCCCAGAATATTATTCCGGGGAGTGATATTTTTTATTATTTTCTTGAGAGAATTGACTCCCATTCCTACTGTAGGAATGGGAGGAGCAACTCCCACAGCTTAGGGGGAGCCGGGTTTTGGGGGCTGGGGACATCCTGGGAATGTCCCCAAGTGGTCCTCCCAACAACTTCCAAATTTGGGAGTCAATCCTCACAAGTTTGGGAGTCGATTAGCTAAGGCCCTAAAGCAAAACGGCTAAATGGTGTCACTACTAGGCTCATCCAATCAAGAAAACTAACTAGATCAGCATGACATCATAGAATATCAAAGTATAAAGGCATAAATATACTCAAGACAAAGCCATAGTTATTGCTTGACACATGAATTATCAGGACCCTGGAAACCCCCAAACTATGTGGGTAACTTAAATGTATGAATTTTTTCAGAAAAAAACAAAAATCATACTCACAAAAGTGGTATGAATCAGTTTGGTTGCCTGAAAGGTTACTCACCAGACAGGCTTTAAATGTATGAATTTCCGCTAACTTGGGGGAAAACCCCCCAAAAATGGCCCGGTCCCCGCCTCTTCCGGGGGATTTCCTCACTTTCTGGGGAATTTTAGCCCAAACATACTCACGAAATATGTATGAATGGGCCCAAATGTGCCATTCCCCGGTGCCCCCCGATGTATGAATTTAGCCAAAATTCCGGTTTTTTCGTTACCCACATTTATAGGGGGTTTCCAGGGTCCTGAATCATCACACCCAGTGTCTCAAGTACATGACAGGTATACCCATGTCAACAAAAACCCTGCATGAAAAACCATTCCTGTGACCCATTCCCAATACCCAAGGGAAGGGTGCAGGTGTCCTATTTTTCCTTCCAGGCTCAAAGTCAAGGGTATATTCCCTTGGGACGGGGTGCCAGGTACCCTCCCTGGTAGTGATTCTTGATGTACAATGGACTTTGTAGCACTGATTTTTCATGGCATGCAGCAACATAGGTGATAACACTTCTTTGAAGGTTTTGATACAGACATGGATATCTCAATTGTGTTTTGTAGCGACTTGTTTTGGGTGCAAATGATGTGTTCAATAACCACAGGAGCTCATCGTTTGCTTCTCCACAGGCCTTCTCTCAATCCAAATACATACAGCAGTTTTTTGGAGTGTGTGCAACGCCTTTCATTGTTTGAAATTCATAAATCAAAAACCCAATCACACTCACTGGTGTCAAAGTGCAGTAAACATATGAAACGCTTCATTGGTGCTTACAGCCTAATTTTAAACGAACGTAGATGTTTTCTGAGTCCAAAAGCTTAGCAAATAAAGATGATATCACAATTTACAAGTAAATCAAAAGGCAGAGACCAGAAAAAAAAGTGAAGACAAGCGGAGGAGCCAAGCGTTGAACTCCACTGGAAGCCCCCTTCTTGGGGTCGGTTGCGCCGTTGTTTCCACCGGCGGTCGAGTTGCTGATAGATGTGTCATTCTGGCTGGGGAGCACTGCACCGGGAGTGTATGTGAATGGAGTCGTGGCATTGACCGCGGCTGGCAAGATAACTTGTTCGGTCTTGCCGTTGACGGTCTGAGTGGTAGCATTGGTTCCTAGCATGACGTTCGGTAACATTTGAACGGTGGGCAATGCGGATGGAAGCCTGAGTAGCAAATAAGAGCTTAATTCAGCAACTAAATTGGATTAGGCTTCTGCCTGATATAAAATCTACATACGTGATTGCGGGGTTAGGTGTCGTCCCGTTGAATGGCTCAAACTTGGCTGGGGGAGCTGGGGGAGCTTGCGAAGGATACCTATGAGCAGCCTTTGGGTCAGAAACTTCGTGTTGCACAAGCGTGAAGGCGGTATTCAAAGCTTACTGGGTTGTGTAGTTTGATTTGTTGAAGGTGGGAGCGCCATCGGGATTTGCGGTACCGTCAACTGTGGAAGTGATATTGCCTAATACGAACATGACAGGTCGCAGAGTTAGTCAATCAGGACAGGATGTACACGTTGTCTTCGTCCTTACCACAAGCAATACGCGTTGAGTTGGGCAAATGGACCACAACACTACGGCCGAGGATACTGAATGGTTGAGGCCAGAACCTCAAATAGTCATCGATGTAAGCAAGGTTCAATGTGGATTCAGACCCATTAAACTTTCCATGACGACTGGACAGATCCTGCATTCAGAAAACACGCTGTGAGCGAAAGCGCGGACACGGACAAGACAAAGCTACTGACTCCTTCTTGACAGTATTGACTGATTTGCGGGTTACAGACGAGTCCATCCGTAACATTAAGAGGATCAAGATGCCCCAGGGCACTTGCGCAATTTCCATCACTGGAAATAGGGTTGGTGTGAACTGTTTCGGCGAAAAAGTCAGGTTCACGTAGATTTGTGGAGCTTGTAATGTGTTTCACAAAGATTCCGATATGACTCAACTGTGGTATGCATAGGCAGCGGTCGAGTTGAGCGCGTTGAGACCGTTGATAGAGATGGACACCGCAACAGCGTTGGATTCAGGTTGGAGGGCGAAGTGAATTTGCCCGCTGACGTTGAAGTGACCAGTGAGGTTGGCGGATGCAGAAAGAGCCGAGGTGGACAGACCCTGAGGGGCTCCGGCGGATGGAGCCGGTCCATTGGTGCCTGGAGTGCTGGCACTGGTTAGACCGAACAGATTGACATTGATGAAGAGGGCAAGGGTGATGAGGAATGGGCTAAGCATGTCGATATTGTAATTGGGTGAGGTTGACCTCCGAGGCTTGAACAACGTTTAGGGTGTTGGGACTGGAGATAATATAAAGAAAAAGCCAGTCAGGGTGTGACAGAACGGTTGATGCGGGGTGGTGGTAAGAGAGCAGGTGACCTACGCGATTGAAAGGAGGATTCAAAGGGAGCAAGAGTGATTAGTTTTGTTGGGGCGGTTGCACTGTTAATTCAAATGGGGGTTCTGCCTGTTTATGTTCTCACTTGAATGAGTGTAGGTTAATAGTTAGAGTAGAGTGGTAGAGGGTGGGGGTGGAGCAGAGGTATCCAGGCGCGGATTATAAAGGTTCTCGTGCGTCTGGTGTCATCAATCGCCGTCTGACCGGTTCCTTGACCCCTTTACTAGCTCTGGGTAATTTGGACGGGAAAGGCGCGAGAGGCACAAAGGTAGACCGTTGGACTCCCCTTGCACCAAGAAGCCCAGGGAACAGAAGACCAAAGATTTCCATGCCAGTCCAAGCCGACTCCGCAGTGGACCTACCAGTCCAGCCCATCCGTGACGATTGAAATTTGAAGGCTCATTCACCGACTGCTGTTCGAAAAAGTTCGAAAAATCTTTACAACCGCGTAATATATCTGCATAGTCGCGCCATAAATACATGGTCCCACCCTGCGCGATTTTTGCCGCTGCCTAAATACATGTGCGCATCTATGATGTATGCATTTACAATGTGCCAGCCAACTTTTACTTGAAAAGTTGAGTCTTCTCACTTCTGGTCTAGAATAGCCGAAGTGGAAATGTACAAGAAAGGCGCTCGGGCTTTGCTGACGGGGAGAAAGATGATGCGAACACGATGCTGAGAGTGCCTACCCCGACGTGGGGATATGCCGAGGAAAGCTCACCCGCCGTGTGTTTATCGTGACTTAATAGCCTTCAGCATCAGACCATGTGTGCATCCATCACCAACCTGGGTGAGCTCAGCTCGGCTCCACACCGTCGCTGCGCCAACGCGCATCTAGCTGAAGCTCGAAGAGTATGCCGGGGGAGGACAAAAAATTTCAGCGATGTCTTCAACTGGGGTGGAATCAGGCACTGGAAAAAGGACAGGTCTTCATGTCCCCACTTGCCGCACCCCTCATGGTTTGCGCCAGTGCTGGCAATCTCATAAGAAGTTGAACGCACAAACATTGGAGAATAGTCGACATATCAGCAAAGGGGGAGATGAAATGGCTCCAGCTGGCAGCATGGGATATAAATGCCTCGCTAAACAAGCGGTCACATCATATCTTGCCCCTTAAAATGGCTTAAACACGTTATCCCCATTGCGAGGAGTTCAGGCAAAGGGGTCCCTCACTCCCTCATAGGCTCTAACACGCACCGCTGATGGCACAGAATTTGACCATTAAGCTACCCGATAAAGATGGCACCTCCGCAGGCCGGGGAACTGCTGTAGCCAAACCCAAGTTGAATCCCATGTTGTGATCCGGCTCACTTGTCTAATTAGTCGTGTTTCTGTGTTGCGGATTATACCGTCCGACACATCTACTCACAGTCCCTGAAGAGCAGCAGCATTGATCATTTCTACATCCCCAAGTTCATCATGACCAATATCACTACATATTTGAACATCAGGTAGCTGGCCTGTACATGAAATGGTGACCAAGTACTACTATTCCAATCCAATCTACCCTAATTATCCATGTGTCCACAAAATCAAGTTCAATTCACTGGAGAAGTTCCCATCAAGATCTGAATTTGACTATCCTGAAGGATCAAAGGTGGGCTCTCTGCCCAGGTGAATGATGAACACTGAAATAACCTGGAATCTCGTGGAATTACCCTTTGTTCACCTGATCACTACCAATATCAGCCAGGTGGCTCAATAAAGATAATTTGTCAGGTAAGAACTGATTTGAGTCCCATAATAACACTTCATTTTGATATACTACTTCTGAAGATTTGTGGGTAAAATCTACTCCAGATATTGGATGTCTTCCTGTTGTGGTTTACAACCATCCAAGAATTTAATTTACACCCCCTAGATCTTAATTTTTGGAATAGATTTTTTTTCACAAGCCTTGCAAAGAAAACTCTCATGTAAGCTGGCCGGAATGATGATTGGGGTGTTAATTTAGGACTGGGGAGGGCTGAAAAAGCACTCTAAATGGTGACGGGAAGTCCTCCATTATTCTCAATTGAATCTTCTTTCCAGAAATTGTTTCAGCCTTTGAATTGGAATTAGAAATAAGTATAGGACTATGTATTAGAATTCACTAAAACATAATATAAAACCAAATTGAAGGAGTTAAGGAACTAAAATCCATTCTTGATAGATGCTTTCCTTTGTGAAAGTAAAGGGAAGAGATGATTTTAGCCTTCTCTGCTTTATTCATTCTATCAGAATATTGATTATCAGTGGCCAGGGATATCAGATTATCCCAATTTCTTCATTCTTATTCCTTATCTAAGTTAAATTACCCTTAAATATCTTGTGTTAAGTCAAAGTTTGATTCAATATATTCAATTCCAAGCTACTCAAACCAAAGAACAGAAAGTGCCCTTAATGTAGAACATCTGATTAAGTCTTCTAGATCATTTTCCAAATTCTGTTGGAATAGAATCCTGTACAACCATTAATTTGAGAAGCAATTGTCATCTGGAAACTATGTCATATACTTTCACAAGATATGTCCTTCATTTGACAGTTGTAACTTGACATTTTACTTTCAAAATATTTACAGTCACCTACAGTCTGCAAGTTGAAAAACTCCACTTTGATCAACACATCTTCTCCATATATCACATAAAGTTGTTGATCTTTACCTCTGAAGCTGTATATAAGTACTTACACCACTTTGATTCAGGCTGGGAATCTAGAAATTTCTCAGAATCCAGACATTTCCATTTGTGTCCTACTAATCATGAAAAAAGCAATGTCACTTGCTGGCATGTGACATCATGAAGCCCACACCCAACTTCTGCCTAAGCTCAGGGTAATCACAAGGTCGTATCCAATGCACAAGAACTGTGCATTATCACTGTGCCAAAATGTATTGGCTCAACAAAAGTGCAAGCTTCATCTGGACTCTGGAGAGTCCTTGATGTCACTTGCTAGCAAGTGATCATGGTGAATATCTGTTTGTTTCTTACAATTTGAGAATTACTGTGAGGCAGAGTAATTTTTTTTGTCACTTGAAATCTAAATTTTATCATCAATTTTATGACAGAATACTTAGATTTTGTTTCTCCTTCAGTTTTTGTGGGCACTCATTTAAAGAAAGTAGCACAATACATGGAGGCTATCAACAAGTTTTTTTTGCCTTCTTTTTTCAATATTTACAGTTTGAATCAAATTATGGGGGAAGAATATTAAACCTGGACATGATCATACGATCTCCATAATCCTTTCCACTCATTCCAAACCATCCTGCCTTATCATACAATCTCATCAACTTCAATGCATGCCACTATACTGCAAACATTACTCAAGCCACAATTGATATCACTGATGAATCATTTTCTCCTCAGGCTTAATCAGCCTGAGTATGAGTCCCCATTCATATCCTACATCATGGAACTCTCAAGCTCCCAATACCATATTACATTTTTCTTCCTGAACAAACAAAAAATTTGCAACTGCAACTTGGTCAATGCTTGTATCAATGGGAAAGCTGCAATTTTCATGGAGCAATCTATGATGCTTAATTAATCCTCAAATTTGATCTCAGATCCACTGTTTCAATGCAACACCATACACTTATGCATTTCCTTTTTTTTTTGAAAACAAACCTGTCAAAAATCAGTGGAATCAACTGGAGTATTATTACTCTAAGAATTAATGTGAAAAAATTAGATGTGTTTTGCAATGTGATTATGAGCTTATATTGATCAAGATCTATTAGGGGGGGTTCATGATTGAAATTTGTCAAGTTTTTATAGCCAATTTTAAGGTACTTATCAGCAGCATCTCAGAATTTTGACAAGATTCACATACATTGGGGTTTCTGAACAGTCAGAACAGCTTTTTCAGTTTTCAACAAGTTGTTCATAAACACCTTAAAATGGGATTCAAGAGATTTGTAAATTTCAATGGTGAACCCCCCCCCCCATTAATTTATGACTGAAAAAAATAAAGAAGAAAATCCAGTCAAGAGTGAATTCAAAGTGTACTATTGATGGTGCAAAATGAACTTTTGTCAAATCTGAAGAAGTGTATGTTGTATTTTGTTTTTCTTGTTTTGAAATCCTGAAGCAACAGGTAAAAACTTGATAACATGAAATATAATAATGTGATTTCCTTTTGTTGTCTTGTTTGAGTAAAATAAAAAATTTGTATAAATTGTTTGAGGAAAAAAAGGGATTAAAAAAATGACATGAGAAGTATCCCAGCAATGAAAATGAACAAAAGCATGTTTTTCTTTGGTTGGATTGATAATCCACAATTGACAATGCAAATATCTTTCCATTTCTTGTTTGAGGCGCTCCGTTTTTTTTGTTGATGAGCTCAGAGATTCCACAAAATTTGTAATATAGATTCAAATGATTTAGGGCAAGAAGAAAGAAGAAAGAAAAGCGCAAACTACACAGTTTGGAGGTATTTATCTGAGGAGAGAGACTATTGGTGAGAACCAGAGCTGGTTTCAGTGTGTCGAGCACCTGAGCTAGTTGAACCGTGATGATAGAAATCATTATAAGGGAATTGAGCGGCAGGCTGCGGAGGATGATCGGCATAAGGAGCAGGGTAATGGTGGGCAGAATCGAAGGAGGGTGGAGGATAGGTGGTCTGGGCAGGATGGAAGTACGGTTGCTCTTGGGTAGCTGGATGATGAGCAGGGTCGTAGGTGGCTGAAGAGTGCTGGTGATTCAAGTCGTCTGGAGAGTGATGAGGAAGGAGAGGATCAAAAAGAGTATCGGGAAGTTTGTTGGCACGTTTGGCATCCTGGAGAGTCTTGAGGTCCTTCTTGTCGATGTCCTCGTCGAACCGGGTGACCATCCTCTTGAAGAACGAGCCGATCGGCCTCCATCCGTTCTTAATCCCCTCCCATATCTTCCCAAACACCTTCCCGCCTATACTATAGGACCTTCCAAAGGTCAACATCTTCTGTCGCCGAGTCATCTCCGGATCCTGTTTTCTTGCTAGTGCCAGTAGGTTGGGCTGTTCTTTTAAGGGCTGATTGAGGGCTGCTTCCTCGCCTTTTGCGTACCGACTCGAAACTATCTCCTTGATCTTGAGCGTGCTTCCCAGCGTTTCATAATTATTAGGCGGGCACACAACCGTCGAGCCGGCGAGCAGCAAGCTGTAAATTACGAGCGAGCTTGGCAGTGAAAAGTACATCGTATGTCGCTCGTGTTGTTGTTGTTTTTCTTTTTTTTTGCTATCGATTTTTTCAGCGGGGGACCTCAGAGGATGGGGGAAGGCAAGTGACCCAGCCTTGAATGCTTGAACGAGTGTCGATAGATTAGCTTTTTTTGGGCTTAGACGTATTAGGATAATGCTTGTGCTGGATGTAGATCTGTTTTTCTGGTGGGGGAGGAAGGCGGGCAGGACAAAAAGAGGTATGAGTGGTGAGGGATCGAGGCAGCCTATGGGGACGAGACAAACTGGACCTTCTGGCGGGATTACTGGGCCCATCCAGTGTTTGATCCTTATAAATGGAATCTTGAAACCGAATGCTTGCTCGGCAGGAACATAAGTTATGGACCTTACATCAACGGGGGTAAGGTCTCATCTATCCTTGGTTCCCCTACCAGCTTCCCCAATTCATACCTGGCTGGACATACAATCTGCTGATTTCCGCACTGGAATCAGAATCGAGTCGTAACTTGTATGTACACGAGTTAGGGAAGAATCACCTGGAAAGTTTCACCCACCCTAAGCTGAGGCATGCATGATATTCTCGAAACATACTCGGTTCTTCTTTCTGATTTGTCCAGAGTCAACATGAAACTCTTGTGTGGTGTACTAGGGGGTGGGGGGAGAAGGGAGCCTGGGAGGGCTGCAGGCTCAGCGGTGGCTATGGCGCTTGCAACATGCCCATTAGACTAGCCATTTCCATGTGTCGATACGAACGATGGATCCACGTTCCTTAATGAACGACTCTTATAAAAGAATCGGCACAAGAAAGAAAGCTGTTGCCACTGGTGCTTTTCTCTGTTGCGCTTGCCTTCATTTCCCCCGATCCCGAACCTCGTCGCGCCCGGTTCACCCAGACTGCCTGTTGAGCCAGATCGGGGGATTTCCAATGCATACATTCGGGATGGTCAACAAGCCAATGGGAAGGACCCAGGACCAACTTCCTCATCATCATCATCAGGAGGGAGAAGATGCCAACAAGAACCGGCGGAAATCCCAGTGGAAGCAGACCATTATCATCATCATCAAGACTAGAAAACTTTCCAAAGAACGGCTTGGGCCAACCTTATACGCACAAGCAGCAACACTCTTCCTCCATCGGATCCTCATCCACGTCGTTATTGGCAAAATCTAGCGTATTACCACCATCTAATCCGGAAACTTCTAACGAGTCTCCTCCTTCTAATCACAGTCATGATAACTCTCAAAGTGATCACGAGGAAGCGTTTATCGAACCGTTGAGTAATTTTACAATCATTCGGTCCTGGCTCTGATCTATCTAATATACAACTTTCATTTATTTTTTTTATCAGATTATTTCAAACTGCTTTACACATAGTTCAATCGTAAGCCACTGATTCACGAAGGAAACAACTTCGTATGGTTGGATTGATTTGGAGCCTGACTCACTTTGAATGTTTGCAGCTCCTTACCAAGATCTGGCCAGATCCAACCCACCTACAATGACAAATTATTACTCTACTCGTTATTCAAACAAGCCGTCCACGGTGATGTGAAATCGACGATCTCTAAAAGGCCGGGGGTTTTTGACATGCTGGGTAGAGCAAAATGGGACGCTTGGAAGGCTAGAGAAGGCTTGTCTTGTTCAGAAGCTAAACGGTTATACGTCGAATCAGTATTGAAGGTATGTCAAGTTATCCCTGATGAAGAGCCATGCTTGAACCAATGAAATAAATATCCAGATTTTTGGGTTTTGACGGTAATTTATAACTGATGAGGAATTAGGTTTGATAGATCTTACGCTCTCATCGAGATAGGCCTGAGGCCAGACTGCTAATCGAATCCCTTTCGGGATACGAGGCTTACTTGGCCACAGTGGATCATATGAGTGACTCGGATGAAGACTTATATTCGGAGCGGAAGATCGAAATCCCGGCGTCAATGCGAGGCAGTATCCACACCCTGAGCGGCCAAGAACAAGCACAAGAAGGAGCGGAGGAAGAAGAAAGATCAGAAGAGAATGAATCTGCAGGATCTAAATCAGATGAGAAATCAGCAGATCAACTAGAAGAGGAGGAGGAGGATATCCAGACCTCAGGATTGGGCCCCTATAAGAGCTCTTCCCAACTCCCGGATCCCATCAACTCTTCAACAGAAACTCACATCCTGCCGCCACACTCACCAAGAGCTATCGAGCCTTCATCGGCAGCCTCCTCAGAATCGCTCAGCCAGTCACCCTCGCCCAAGGATGACTCGAGCCCAGCTCAAGCAAGTCAAGAGTCCATACAAAGCACTCACATCGAGCCTTCAGAACCGCGCTTTACATATGCTCAGGTCCAAAGACTCGTCGACCAAACCCCCCAAACCCTCCCATTCCACTCTCTCCGCTCTCCTCTCAACCATCCCACCCATTCACACCCAGATTTGTCCCGCCTCACGCTCCCCCAGTCCTCTCACGATCCATATTCTTCTTCCCTTGCCCTCTTACAATCTAACCTCGAAAAACTTAACCAAACCATCGATTTGCTGCACACTCTGATCTCCAAAATCCACCCTCCTCAACACCACTCCTCCACTTCCTCACCACCCCCACCACCATCAGCACTCAACAAAAATATTCTTGTGGCAACCCCTTCCTCTAGTCCTTCTTCAAATCCTCATCACAAATCGTATTCTTTACTCTCCCTTTCTCGGTTGCGCACTGTGCTCAATCATCCTTGGGTTAAACGTCTCTTCCTCGATCTTTCTCTCTTCTTCCTCCTCCTCAAAGCTCGCAAATTCTTCAACAAACGTCCTGTATAGATTCTCTCTCTCTTCTCTCAAAATCACTCTTCTTTTTATCAAAAGCATCAGTCTTTCTAATTTTATCATCCTTATTCCAACTTTTCTCTCAGGAGGTGCTTAGAGCTGTTTTTGGCCTAGTTAAAAGTGTGTGGGCATAACATGGGACTACATGTGTATATGTGGGGCGGTCACCTGTGACAAAAGGTTTGATTTGATAACAAGTCCTCAAGATAGAGGACACATGTATCATAAAGCATCTCAGGTCAAGCTTACATAGAGTGTTTCTGAGGTCATGATCTGCTGCAATTTAGGTCGATGGGGGTGGGGTTTGGAAAAAAACTTATGGACAAAAAAAAACGCGAAAACCGTAGTTTTTTAAAGCCCATGTCAGTGGGAGCTTGCGACCAGTGTGCAACTGGTAATGGTATGTTACATGTGCTCAAAATGTAGCGGGCAAAGCTTGCCGCGCGGGAGAGGCTTTGTTGGCAGCACTTGTCGCCCAAAGTTACTTGGGCTAACCGCTTACTAACCATAAATGGTTACTTTAACCGAGGAACAAAGATCTTGGACATGGAGATAACGGCGTGATCATTGCTTGTTCAGTTGCCAGATCAAAAACAACGTCGGTTACTAGGTTGTAAGTAGACCTCAAACTGTCAAGGTATGCAGGCAAGATATTTGATGTCGAAAGAAAGAACGACTGTAGACATATTTGGGTTTTGGGAAAGCGGTTGGAATATGACTGCTGACACTGCGGACTTCCTGGTACAACTATTCACCCCCTGGAACGCATTTTTGGTGGACAAAATCGGAGATTTCTCTAAGTAATTCCCTTGAGTACTGGAGAGAAAGGATCGAGTCGAGGTCAGAAGTGCCGATGGCTGATTGTGTGGGATGACTGAGATGTGCTTAACAAGATACGCGACTTACTGATCCGGCATTGGTGATTTGGATAAGACAGCAAAACTGATGGGTTGGCACGCCGGGTGGCACTTGCGCGTCGGGTGTGTTGCAGGTCCTGTCTTTATCTGGGAGGTAATACACTGACGTGTTTCGCGGGCAGAGCAAAAAGGCTATTTGTCAATTCACTGGTTGTGGAATGAGAGCTCAACAAAAATCGAGCAAAAACTTTACATGCAGCTGCATCCTGGCTCTGCCAGAAACATTCTCGAGTTTTATGTGTTTTTCCTCTGCATGTAAATGCCGCAGCCATAGGCCAATAAGCCATGGCCATGACACTAACAGTCAGTGCTAACTTGAAGCAGTACATCTTCTGACAAAGATACTGAAGTGGAAGTACGAGGTAAACTTGCAAAACTGTGACAAGCGAAGTAACAAAAGGGGCAATTAATTGATGCAGATTCAACAAAGGTGGGGCAAATTTTTAGGAAAACCTTTTGTGCTTACGGGGTTGAAGGTTTATCTGAGTTTGGTGGAGGTAAAACCGATTAAATCTTCGAGTTTAGGTGGCTACATCAGAGGTGGTGCTGTAGATTGTTGGAAGACGCGCTGTCCAGAGGATTATTTATACCCTAACTCTGCCCCCAAAGATGAATGGGACAGCCAGCAAGAGAGCATTGGAGGACTTCCCGTCGGAATCTGCGGGTCCCCCAGAGCCGATCTAGAGCCTCGAAAACCAAATTCTCCTGCGAGAATCTAGAGTTTTCAAGTCGTAGATCGACTTCTGCGAGGGCTCCAGTTCGCACGGGAAGTCCTTTTCCTCTTTTGATTCTAACTCTCGGTACTCATGACAGCTACAACGGCAGTCTCCCGCGGCTATGTAAAACTCTATCCCAATAACGAACTCAAATGTTCTCTTGGTAGTACGTACCGGAAGCGCTTCCTGCATCGCTCACTGGCTTGCAAGTTGTATGTACCCTGGGCATCATGGGCAATTTAAATCAAATTGAGAGTGCTATGTAAACTCATCTTGTTAAGTTCGAGGAAAGTGTCACCTGAGGAAAGAAACGGCCTGGTGGCAGGGCCATGCCTGCCCGAGAGAGTGCAGATGCCGATTTGCCCGCCACCCCCAGTTAGACTTTAGTCACAGGAAGTCAAAGTAGGTATTCAGATCAGTGGAGTACTTCCACACAGTGTCACAGCCCCAGCTCCAACAATGACGATGAATAGGAAATGATTAAGACGCTTGGAATATAAGAGTCTGCATGTCCTGCTTGCTTTTTTTTTCTCTTCTCTTTGGGAGAGCGGTGCATACGCATGAGGATTGGAGTTGTGCCTTAAGAACAACCCTGTCCAACACAAGGCTCAGAGGATTGGAGTTGTGCCTTAAGAACAACCCTGTCCAACACAAGGCTCTCGAGTGAGAGACAGTCCGGCTCCAGCCTCCAGGAGATACAAGGGGACTTGCGCGCCAAGTGCGCCGCTAAGAATTATACGGAAGCAATTCCGACTGATGGAGTTAAGTTGTCCAAGTTTCCAATCTATCACAAGTATTGAACGTTTCCTCTTCTAATCCTAATTCTCGGCATTCTCTTGACAACAATTATCACTAAACACAGAGACTTTTCCTTAGCTTTTCATGACACTGCGCGGCTATGCAGAGCAGTACATATTTACTATTCTAGAGCTTAGCCCTCTACATATTTAGGTGGGGAAGCGGTGCGGCAAGCGCTTCACGCATCATAGCCTTCCAGATCCACTTTGCCCTGAGCATCACGGGGAACATTTTTAAACAGAATCGAGGCCCTTTCGTCGGTTGCAAAAATAGCAAGTGTCGCCGGTGGAAATCTTTAGCATGGGGCCGCCTAGGGTTATGCCTGCCCGAGGGAGTCCATTGTCAGAGCGTTCGTGAGGGGCAACCCTATCGAGGTGCTTCGCGACCCTGCGTCCCACTAGGGAGGGACTTTGTGAACTTGGATTGCTTCCACACAGTCTGAGCTCCGATGACGATGCCAAGTTCAAGGATCATCAGACTCAAGGCAAACTTGCGGACTCTGATCGGAAACGTCGCTCCGAGTCCGAGCTTATCAGCGGTCGTGTATCGGCCATCACTAGCTCATCGCATGCAACGGTTGAGGTAGCCCATCGCCGACACATTTTTGTCGCCTGTGCCGCTCTGTGCCGGCGATGTGTCCTCGAATTGTATGGAAATGTGCGTGCAGGTACGTGCACATTTACGTGTAGGCTGTCAAAGTCTGGACTTGGGTCGTAATATAATTAGATGAGATTGCGGTGTTGTGGTTCCCATGCATGCTCCACATGAGCTGCGTAAATGTTGTCAAGACTGAACACACCCATTCAAGGTACTTACCTTTCCAAGCTTGCTACGAGGGCAAAGTTCGACTCTTGGAGATTTCCACACATAAAATGAGCTTGCCTCTCGGGCGGTGTTTCTTGCTCGCCACCAATCACTCCATTCAGTTCCTTTCTCATTTTTAATAACCCTGATCTTGAAGCCTGAAACACCCTGAAACCATGAGGTCGTCTTCACAAGTCTTTTTAGCAACCGGGCTTTTATCCGCTCTGTTCTTAGGTAGCAGCACCCATGCCTACAGCGCCAACAACCGGGGCTCACCCCAAGTCAAGGCATACTATCCCAGCTACAATTTCGAAGCACAACCTGTCTCAAAGATTGATTGGAGTAATTAACTATATCTACCCGATCAATCCTATTCAATGCACGTCCAACTGATGATATTTCTGGTTTGCCTCTTCCCCCCCAGCTGCGTACACCGATTTGCTGTACTTCATGGTGATCCCTCAACCGGATTTTACTCTGTCTTATGATCCCAAGCTCACGAGAGCACAGGGTGAAAAGTTGGTTACAGAATTCGTTGCGGAGGCTCGTAAGAGTACGTTTCCGTGATCCTGCTTCTAGAAATCTATCACCTCACTCTAACCCTGTCCTCCTTCATCACTCAGATAACGTCAATGCTCTTTTTAGCGCTGGTGGTTGGACAGGTTCAAGGTACGCATCATCTCTCGGCCAATCTGTCACATGGAACCTGATTCTAACCAACCCCTTCAAAACCATCAACTTAGACACTTTTCGAACTTGACCTCGACGGAAACCTCCCGCAAGAAATTCGCTCAAGTGCTCGTGAATTTTGGACAGAAACATGGTTTCGCAGGAATTGAAATGGACTGGGAATGTGAGTATCGCAAAACCTACAATCATCACTACGTGGTTGCCACATTGACTAACTCCAGTGACCCCATTCTTTCACTTGACACAGATGCCAATGGGTAAGCTGCGTTCACAGTGAAGTTTTCGGCGTGTTGCTCACAGAGTTTCTGCTTTGATTTAGTGATGGTATTGGATGTAACTCTCGGAACCCAGCCGATGTTGTCAATTTCGGCTTGCTCGTCAAGGTAAGAGTGACTTACAAATTTATTGTCGATAGATCAGCTAATGTTAGTGTCCAATCATGAATTGATTAGGAAATCCGTGCTCTATGGCCCCATGCCTCGATCACCGCTGCTCTAGGTATCAGCGGTTTCAACGGGGCCGACGGCAAAACTGCGACGGCCCAGGAGACTGCTTTGCTGGCGCAAAATCTCGACTACGTGTAAGTCCAAAAGCCATCCTAGTTTTTTGACCCCAAATCCTCTGACTCACAATGATGATTCGCCTGGCACAGGAACCTCATGGCCTATGATGTATACGGTGCCTGGGCTCCGACTACTGGTCCTCTAGCTCCTCTGCATGCGACATGCGCCCCTCCCGCTTTCGGCCAGTCTGTTCAAACCGGTCTTCAAGTCGCTCTGAAGCAAGGATTCAAGGCATCCCAGGTTATCTTGGGCATTCCGGGTTACGCCAAGCGTCTCGAATTGGTTTCTTCCAAGCTTGAGGAGAAGGTTGTGAATGGCAAACCGACTTATTACTACCAAAACCACACTACCGTTACCCCTGTAAGCTGCTTGCGTTGACCGTGCTCATGGAGCCACATGCAACCACTGATGACTTTTCCTTTTCTCACTCATGAATAGCCCGGTGGCAAATTTGACGACAAGCCAGGCAAAGACATTTGTGGTAACGCTCAAAACTGGGGCGGGTCATTTCTCGTGAATGAATTGATCAGCAATGGTTGGCTAACCCCAGACCAAAAGCATGGCGCTAACGGGTACCAGCGATACTATGACAGTTGCAGTGGTCAAGTAAGTGCAAACATCTCCAAAATAAACCCCAGTTCTAAACTTGAAGTTGATTTAGTGATCTTGTTATCCTCAATATTTTGGCAGCCTTTCCTCACCAACGGCAAATACTTCATTACGTACGATGACCAATTCAGCACGGTTGACAAGGCCAAATTTGCCAAGCAGAACGGCCTGGGTGGTATTTACTTGTAAGTGCTAATTATCTCAGTCGAATCTTCGGATTTGCTTTTTCTTTTTCTGTGTTTGTACTTGAAGTCATCTGACACGTTTACTCGCGATTATAGCTTTGATACCATGGGTCCGACAGCAGCTACCGTTAGAGCCGCTCGTCAAGCCCTCTCCCATTAAACCCCCTTATCCCCCGCCAAACGATCATGTTTGAGCTGCATTTGATGTCTCTCGTTTATCTGTAAAAGATGCCTTAGCAGATCTTCCGAAGATTATCACTTTGGGATGCATTCTGATTGGACGTTGATTTCTCTTGTTTTTCCATCGTTTTTCATTTGATCTGATATAAAGCCTCATTCAAAGTCGCAGTTTAGTGGGCATCGTCCTAGTCCCATTTGTACCCACATGATACTTTCTTAAATACTTTTTGGAAAATTACCAATGAGTTTCGCTATGCATGTATATGCAGGAGTCTTGCCTCTCCAGAAACAATAAGAGACACGCTTAAAGATGAATCCTTTGGGGCACTTCTGTGATTCCGCGTCGCTGCTAGCTCGGAACTTGAATGCATGGGTGGGGTAAGGTGTGAAGAGCCCACTGATTGTTTAGTTGAACTGAAAAGAAAAAAATGTGCTAATATCTACATAACAACTGGAAAATAATGGACACATCTAACAATGTCAATTTGTCCTCCATGGCATACCTTGGAATTTAACCTAGAATCACATGCCAGCACACCAAAGTTTTTGTTTTGATATTGGATGACTTCCTGTTGGATCTGGGACCCTTGTAGATGTTGGTTTGGACCCAAAAACTCTAGAATTCTGCTGGGAAATCTAGCTTTCAAGGCTCTACGTTGCTCCTGGGACCGGAAGTTGGTTTACTGTATCAACAGAGCACCAGTTAGTGGGGTTCACATTTGAAATATCTCAGCAAAATTTTTATGTGAAACCAGCAGAGTGCTTTGAGTTTGCATGCATAAAGTTGGCCTGCACGTTGTGAGAACTCCTTTGGGATGGATGGCAGTCCTGCAAGGGGGAAATAGCAGTGATAATATATCAGGTATGTATGAAGCTATGACAACTCTTATGGGTGGTTTGAAAGACCTGCCCCTCTAATGTACTACACTAGAATTCTGACAACAAATTTATTTTATTGTTGTGGCAAAAACTGATGATAAAGAAAAAACTATATGTAGTAGTCTCTTATCAAACCTAGATCAATGTGGAATCAGCTGAGACTTAGTGGAATTTTGAGTGGAAAGAATTTGGTGTGGTTTACAGCAGGCTGGAATCAGATAATGGAAAGATTTGAAAAGCTGGGAGATATTTTTGTATGTTTTTATATGTTTATATGAGTGAAGTAAGATAGATGTTGATATGGGAAAAGACTGAGAGGAAACTGATGATAAATATGAACTATTCAAAGTGTCTTTTCCCTCCTCCTTAACCTTCAGTTAAGAGAACAAATGGGTTAAGATCACTTTGACTTGTTAATATCACAAGGGATGATACTTGCTACTTGACTTCTTCTATGCTTCCTGAGGTATGAAAGATGTTAATGGGCCACCTGATTGAGATCACACTGTTGGATTTTACCTTAATTTGACTTGAAGACTCTGGGTGAGGTGTGCCGCATTGGCATGAGGAACTGATCTGAGGAGGGAGAAATGACCTCCTTATATATGTGAGGGATTTTTGCTAGTGAGGAAGTCCTGTGAGGGATTTATGCTGGTGACTTCTTCTTTGAGGGATTTTAGCTGATTGGAAACTTCTATTGAGCCATTTTTGCTGGTGTGTCTTGTGATCTGCATTGCCCCATACATAAAATCACACATGTTGTGGAATGTTCTTTCTATTTTGAGGCATTTTTGCTGGTGTGTTGTGAAAATATGTGTGATCCAAAGCGTGTTACTGGTGATGTAATGTGAAAATACATGTGATCCAAAGCATGTGATAATGCATGTAGCATGTGATCATACATATGTCTGTACAAACCACATTGCAACTAGGCACTTATCTATAAATCTATACTATGTACTACACAGGAACAAATATACTATGCTTTAATGAGAAACTGTTTTATCCAAATAACTTTTGACTGAGTGGAGCTAGCCTAGTGGTTCCAGTGAGTGACTATGGGTTAAATGACCTGTAGAATCTATTGAAGCAATAATAACACCAAGAATATAGCCAATTATCAAGAGTGGATCATGACCTTATGCAATTTGGTACTTGAAACACATTTGGCACACTTCAACGTCTGCCAATTTTTAATTTTGTTTGAAACCAGCAAGAAGGAAATTTATCCAAAGTCAACAAGATTTTATTCAAATGTGAAATGTCCTAATAGCAATTTTTGCTTCTTGCATTTCTTGCCTGCGCATTGCTGAGATAAAATTTCTCAGCAAAAATTTAAACTTTCACACTAAATTTCAAGTCTGCAGCAGTGCTGTGGTTTTTTGCGCAAGAAGAAATTTCTTCTTGCAAGAAGCTATTATGAACCCCCCTATTGAAACTGAGCACTTTTTTGATTCATCTGCTGACCACCTTCAACCATAGAGACAAGCCTTATTACTTGCATATTGAAGAGCCACTCAAAGATATGGGTCTTTGATGTGTGTCCATGGCAGAGCCTGTCAAAGCTGACATACCATTAGTTCAGTACCCAATTTGTCAAGACTGTCTTGATTTAAAAAAATGACATTGAGGCCTGCTTAGATTTTCTGTTTATCTTGGCAAGATTACCCTTGTGGACTGAAAGCAGTATTTTTGCACCTGCCTTCTTTGCTTTCTTGCAACCTGGGCAACCATGATTGTTTTTGACTGCCTGAATAGAGCCATTGTGATGCTTTTTCAAATTTCTGTTGGTGGACCCATGGAACCAAAACCATCCTCTACACCACTTGCCATGGAAGTTGAGCCTAACACCATGTGGATGAAGGTGGGGCCATCCACACCAGGTTTTCAAAGAAGTTGGTTATTTTGTCTTCCAAGGCCTTGGGTGCCTTCTCCTTGACCCTGGGCTGAATTTCAATGGAACCATTGGAGTCCTGACTGTAATCATAATGTTCAAAATCTGAGTTGGTCTATGGAACTCAACACAGTGGCAGGTTCAGTTATAGGTTTTCCATAATATCTGAGTGTAATGTTTTTATATCACACTGATTCCTCTGTCAAATCTTTTTTAGACTTGTTGGATATTTTATTTGTGGTGTTCACAGTTTTTTTGCCCCCCCCCCCCTTTGTGATGGTTTTCTTGGTTGCAGGCAATGCTGATTCATGCAGTCACTTTTTCTTCTGCTTGGATTTTGACACAAATATAGAACAAGAAGAATTGGGGGAAGGGGCCCTTGGAGATTTCTGTGGAACATCCACTAGAACACAAGAATCAGAGGTAGGTGTAAACATATTGGGGGTAACTGTTACTGATGTGGCTTGAGTCAAGTGACATATTTGGCTCTGCAACTGGTCAGAGAAATGATCGTCAGATGCAGTGTGAGTAGCTAGGTGACAGGTCGGCTGTTGGATTGTGATTTAATACTGAAGTGAGGGACCAGGAGGCTCCACTGTTTTTGAGTCCAAGAAGGCCAGTTTCAAATGGACACTTTACCAGACTGTACCAGGGAATAAAACAGGGAGGGGTGGCTTTATGCAGGTGTGAAACCCAGTAGAATCCAGTACAGGGGCCTATAAAAAACCCACTAGTTACAATAGGGATGAGCCACATCAATTTTGTGTTACTCCTAATGATAACAGGAATAAGTTACTGTATGAAAAATGTTATGATATTGTAACATATCCAAAATAACCAGTGTTATCAAAACCTGGACACAAGCCATAGCTTGATAAACTTGGCACAATGGCTTGGGTCTTGTTGGGGGATTAGGAGAAGTTGAATCTCCCTCTGACATTGGCAAAACAGTAAAGAGGCAGTTTTGGAGTGTGAACCAATATTGTAAACTGTTATCCTGGCGCAACAGCTCTCTGGAACAGCTTGCAGTGTTCCAAATTGGCCCGTGATTGGAGGAGTCAAGTCTGCTTATGAAATTTGAAAAACAGTACACAGGTTGCTCTGGTGTTTGAACTGCTATTGTAGCACAACATCTTGCCAAAACGGGTTTAAATCTTCCAAATTGGCCTGTTCCTGGAGGTGGTGGTTGTTTAAAGGCCACAATATAGTTCTCCATCCTCCAGAATACTAAGCCTACCTTTTCTTATAACATCACCTAGGCTTACTGACTCAGGTGACTTCAAGTTTTTTGGATCAAGTAAATATTGTCTTTTCCATGAACCTTGGACCATTCTCAAATCTTTTTGTCTCTATGTATATAGAAATCCTCATGATATTTTCTTCCTGATGATTCTGCCCTATAGTATCCCACCCTTTGCTTCTCCCTTCCCTGCTCCTAACCAGCAACCCAAGGCTTGACTTCAAACCAACTACCCCCAACTGACCAAGTTCAAAAAGTTGGAAAGCGTGTTAAGGATGGATTGGGGGTGAAATGGACCTGGGAAAAACAGTGTAATCTCTATCAAAATAATATCATGAATCCTATTTCCTAGAAACTTTGAGCTATAACCCTGGGTGTTATCTAATATCTGTTGAGGGGAACCAGGGTGACTGAGACTGGGGGAGCGGTCAAGACTCACAGTGGGATGTAACAAGTGAGAAATCAGATATTGTATTAAGTGAGGAGAGGGGGTCTGATGAGTGAGAGAACAGTAAGTTCTAACAAAGTAGAGATGGTGTGCTTGGTAGAAGCATATTCTATGTACAAGCATAGAATGACTAACATACGGGATTCATATCCCAACATTATCTGACAGGTGTCATTGCCAAGATAAAACCCAGAGGACAAAATAGAAGTCTGGGATTTGTCAAATACAAGCCTAATCAAAATCAGTCCAAGCTTTTTGAGAAACACAGTATATTCCCATCAAGTTTTTCTAACTTGGAACAAAAAAAATGGAATCAAAAAATTTAGTCATAAATTCTTTTTTTATTCTTTTTTTTGTATTTGTGCTTGATTTGAAACTTCATTCATGATGGTATCATAATTTGAATAAAAAATTATCTTTTTGATTATCTCAATCAATTCATGATGATTTTCTAGTCTTTTTTCTGGGCAAAAAGTTTGATCTCTGGATGTCTTCTTCACCCAATATTCTGTTATCTTCCATGCCATTGAAAGATCTCTTCCTGGCATATTCATAACTTTAGGAGGGAAGGTTCCACTTTTGTTGAAGTATAACAAATCATGCAATTGATTTTCAAAATAATATTCATCCTTTGATGCCTGATCTTTACCCTGTGCAATTTTTTTCCAGAGCTCTTTGAGGATACCCACAATATATTTCACAAGATCCATTTCTCTCAACACACCCCCTTCATGCTCACCAAAAAGTGAAAGATAAAAAACAATCAATGTTACTGCAATGCGAGTCAATTTCTTTATGTATCTGATCCTGCATTCAAGTTGACCAAATATAGACCATCCTGGTTTTTTGGATGAATTTTGTGAGTTCAAGCCCAACTTAGATTGCAATTGAGCTTGAATATCTGTGAAGAATCCTAAGTGTGGCTCAAGTCCCAGTTTTCCATTGGAAATCCTCAATATCAATTCATGAATAATTTGGTCCCTTTTATATGGTTTGATAAAATTTGGATATCCAAATGATTCATGTTCTGAAAGATATTTTAGTGCGATGATAATCGCACTCCCCTCCCCTCCCCGCACTCCCCTCCCTTGGATATCCAAATTTTATCAAACCATATAAAAGGGACCAAATTATTCATGAATTGATATTGAGGATTTCCAATGGAAAACTGGGACTTGAGCCACACTTAGGATTCTTCACAGATGAATTCCACCACATTGGAGCTTCAGCT